ATATAGAGTTCTGCTGGATAGCCTGAGCGATGGTGGCTGTGTTTTGGTGTTTAACAGCTGTAAACCGAGCAGCCTCTCGGGAGGAATGTGTTGAACTCTTGTATCGCGGTGAAAAAGTAAAGAAAAGCCTCTCAGATTCAGAAACTCAGAGAGCTCGGAACAAGCTAAAGTGTCTAAAGTGGAAGCTTTCCACTTGTGGGCTTCCACTGAAGTAGATGTGGATGCCTCAGACCGATCTAGTGAATAGACCTGAACCCTGGAGAGTCAGGTCCCGGAGCGGGTTACGCGCATCGGGCACATGTGACCCCCCCAAACAACACGTCATCCTCACGGCAAATTCAACTTTTACAACCAGAAAAAAAACAACAACACTTTTTTGTTTTCATTGTTCTTTATCTAACCTATTCAGTCCTATCAACTCTCGCTCACAAACAAGAAGCACGGAGTCGGTAAACATGCGCTCACCTCACGGCCGGGACACGGACACACGGACACACGGACCCTCGGACACACGGACACTCGGACACGGAGGCGGACACACGGGGCCGGGCAGCGGTCCCCGGCTGAGGCCGGGACAGAGGCGAGGGGCAGCGGGAGGAAGAGAAGACGGCGGCGGCGGGCGGAGTGCGGGGCGGCTCAGCCCACAGGCAGACGGAGGAGGACGCGCGCACACACACCCGCACGCGCATACAAACATTTACGCGCGGACCCGGCCACGCCCCCCCCCCTATACGCGACGCCACGCCCACTCGAAAGGGTCGATTAATGCGGCGTTCAGGTCTTATGGGGATGGGAGGGGGGGGCACAAAGGTCCATTTTCGTTAGTCAGTACGTCCACAGGTTATGAGCTCGTGTTATTGAAGTATTCAGAAAACATAAAGTCACCCATTGGGCTCAGTTAATGGCAGAAAGTTTCTGTTTTTTTATTTTAAGGAAATATTCGCAAAACACTTTTTTTTAGTAATATTCTCTCCTATAATGTGGTATTTACTTGTTACCATTTACATGTCAAATTATCAGGTCAAACTGAGGAAATTAGATGAAAAAAACACCTTTAAAGGGTTAATAAGGTGAACGGAGGAGCAGCCTGTAAATAACTCTATAGTGGTAACACCAGCAGCCTAAAGTTTGGGGCAACACTCCGCTCATCATAAAATCTCTGCTCTGACAAGCACAATTTGTAATAAAAACAAAATCGGCTCTGAGGCATGCGAATTGCGCAAAGGAAGAGGGGGGGGGGGGGGGTCAAATCTCACTGAACTACAGTTACCTCTCAGAGCTGTTGTGCTTTCATTCCTCTGAGCGTTGACGCATTGCATAAGACCCTGTGATGTCTGTAATCTGCCTAAGAACGACGTATGTGCTGCTGAGTCAGCGTAGGCCTGTGTGCTTTTTGACACGCGGGCTCAAAAAGCACAACCGCCATAGTGTGCGAGCAGGTTCACTCAGGAAGAGTGCTAACAAAAGGTAACCAGAGCCACTGTCAGAGGAAGTTGGGCCTCAGACTGAGCCACACCTGGAATAACCGGGCGTTCGGTCCACGGTGACACCGACATTTGGGGAATTAAGCTCAGGCCATTCACCCGTTAACGTGCGTACTCCTGCCTGTGCGCCCAGGCCCTAAGAATCCATACAAAGTGGAAACATTTTATTAGTCAGCATGGTGTTCAAGACCAGCGGCATGAGCCATCTCACCCTAAACTGACACGGGCTTATTTGTGCCAACTGCTGTGGCAGTTAGGACACAAAGCCAAACCCCACTGATCGTATTCCTGTTGCTTTATGTGGCGAGCCCTTCTGGTAATTCTTGATTTAGAGGTTATTTACGTTGGCAGGTTGGTTCAGATGGTTTGGAACCACAATGCAGGCACAAGCCCAAACACACGCACACACACACACACACACACACACACACACGTGCATACACATTACAAAAATATCACTCACATCCACCCCCAAACATGGACACACACCCACATATACTCACACTCTCACATATTTGTGAGGCAAATTAGAATGGCTGTAAAAATGAGCAGGAGTTTGAACCCACACAAGGGGCCTTTGGGAGCTGTAGGAATTTCCAGCCCTCTCTGACCAACACAACCGAGATCACCCCTTTGCTAGGACTGATTTCACCACTAGAACTGAATGATCATCAACCTGTCAGTCAGCAACACAATGTACAAAAAGGCTCTGAAAGTTCAATTTCGTGTTTTATCTGGAAACACTTTGACCATACAAAAAAATATGCATTCAAAAACATTATTTATCGTCAGAGGAATATAATGTATGTCACTCAAGTCCTTGATTCTGCATATCCGTGTGGATATCTGCATCATGTGTCTTCATGCTGGGAAAGTGGAAGAGAACAGTGTATCATTTTTCAAGAATCTGGAAGATCAAGAAGGCAGGTTCTGTTCTTTGACAGGCATTTTTTGTGACCACGCAGTCATGAGTCAGGGCAATGAGCTTCTGCCCGGAATAGTGGCTCATCAGTGGTGTGGCACAGAGGTTATAATATTTCATGAGGACAGCGGGGTGACCACAGTGTAATTACTGTTTGCTAGGGAAAAGTGGCAATTCTAAAATAAGCTGCAGCTCAGTTTTAGTTTGATAACAAATTATTTATTGAATAAAAAAAGAAAATCAGGGTAAACAAAAATAACTGTGCAAGTGAGAGAAAAACAATAAAAAATCAATAGCTTATAAAATGCTCAGACTACTGGTGATGTAAATCATATCTATTAGCATTCCTTTCGATTAGAAAATATAAAGTATGCTCTTGTCGTGTTCGCGGAAGCAAGTATGCATCTCACAGACATGAAATAAACATTAAAGAATCATCAGAAAAGTTCTTAAGAAAGTGATTTTGATCTTCATAACTGCAGCAAAACAAACTTCTATTGCTAACTAAACTCCCTTTAGTCAAAATAGCCTCCAAGTACACAGCAGCAAACATTGAAACCTGAATGATTTTATCTTCATAATAAAATCATTCAGCACAGACATGCATCCTCCACGACTGCACACCATTTAATGGCAATATCAGCTCTCAACCATGGCTCCTCCACATGGTAAACCTTTGGAGGAGCAAAGTGAAACGCAAAAGTGCTACAATTAAGGCGGCACGTTGGCTTTACTATTGCTTTCCTACGATCTTGGTTCATCTAACATGTCCATAAAACACTATTACCGTCTCATCCACTAAAAAAAGAAAGCCTTTGCTCACGGTGAGCTTCACCATCAGTCACAGCTCTGCAAAGCTGCTTAAATATGAACAAAAAGGGTAGATTCACCAAAACCTCTCGCTTAATTATTTGACATAAAGGACGAAAGCAGAGAATAGGCTGCTGTGGGATACTTATTACACTCGACAATCTTTAGATTTTTAACAGCAGCACAAATGAAGGTTAGAAGCACAAGCCGACAGGCACGAGACGGCCTTCATCATTTTAGTGCCCCTCAGAGCAAAGAACTTCAGAGGTTGGCACCAACGTTATGGACTTGATCCTGCATACAATATTACACCTCAAGCACTGCCAATGACTGTAGGCATTATTTCGTTTTTCTTGAAATGTACAGAGGCTTTCCGTAGATTTACTATGTTTAAATAGGGAAAAATAATTAATCAAAATCTAGAAAAATCGTGTTCAACTTATTGCACCCTGTAAATAATCTGTATAACAAACATATACATAACACTGTGTGAACAACAGCATAAGGCATCCATAACTTAATGTGGTTAAGTTAAATAAAAAAACAAAAAAACAGATCAACACATAACGAACTATTGTCCTCTGGACCAAGAAATTATCTTTCCTTGGCACATTTTGTGAAGAATGATTTAAGCTGTTGAGTTGAAGTAGACGTGGCAAAATAAATTCAGAAAGTTATAGTCAGTGGTTAAGTGGTCCCAAATGTGGGCGGCATCAACCATAACCTTCTCCTCATGACAACTTCCTCAGATGGATATGAGTTCTTGGCCAATAACAGAAAAATATTCTCCTCTCAAGATGAAAAGTCCATTTCGATAATTATCATTATTTTAACAAAAGCGAAAGGGTAATGAAATTTTAAATAAAGAAGGCATTCCTCCCTTGTTCCTTTACAATAAACTGCATCAATTTAAGCATAAGCCCCACTTCTCTATTGAATCTATCTAAATACATCGTTATTGTATTGTATGTTTATATGGTTGTAAAATCTATAGTACAAAACAGCATCACTCAAAGAATGTTCAAAGGGCTTGTTGCAAAATGGGGAGGTGCAATTCCGTTAGAGGGAGGATTCCTGGACTCCCTGTTAGTGATGAGGGAGCGTTGATGTGGCTGCCTGCACCGTCCCCAGCCGGCCATTCACCTGGACAGTCTTTTTGGGCACATAGACCTGGTTCAAAGAAACACAACCTGTCACTTTTGCACTTCTACACAGGTAATGGCAGGACTAGCAGTTTATGGCGCAATAAAATGAAAATGAATAACTTGAAGGGTCTTCGTGTTTCTGTTTATTGATTCCACACAGCTGCTGACCTAAAACTGAACTATACCCTCCTGACAGTGCTCACGCAACAGCACAGTGAGACTGTAACAATCTGCAGCTCATCTCCAGTTTCTTGGCTGCTGGGCTGCAGGAGGAAGACATATGAAACCAAGGCTGAGCTGTGAGATGACAGAGGACCCTGGTTCAACTCAATAAGTCTTTCTCTTGCTGTCTCTTGGTTTCTTGCCTCACCCTGATTCTGCTTTTATGAATTCTTCTTGCGTCTGCAGATTAAAAAACGAGACAGATAAATATCTGGATGTGCTTATTTCCCAAATGGGATCACTAACAATATGAGCTCTTACCTTAATATTTGTGGTTTCATGAAGCAACGTATAAAGAAAAATCAATTGGTGCTAGCTTAAAGTAGATAAATGTTGTTGAGTGTTCCAAAGAAAAAGAAAAAAAAAGAACCTCAAATGTGTAATAAAATACTGTGTTTTCTGAGCTGTCCCTTTTACCTTTTTTAGCCTCTCAGCAGCAGATCCAGAACGAATAGCTTCCAACATGGCCTCTCTGGCTGAGGCAGGATTCACGGGGCTGTGAGCGTTTGGATACGCCACAGCAGTGGGCTTATTCTGGGACAGGACAGGTGGAGGAGGTGGAGGTGCCACCATAGATGGAGGAGGTATTGGGTTAAACACAGGGGAAGAGGAGGTCAACGGAAGAGGGAAAAGAGAAGAGCCCACGCTTTTCTCCTCCTCAAAAGCTGCCTTCCTGAACTGTTGGAGCTCACTGGCAGCCTCAGACTTAGTCTGTGGACACAAAGTAATGAGGTAATAGTCAGTCTAGCCACACAATCCCCAAAAAACATATGTTCGCCTTCACATAAGAGCAAGTTGACTAAATGTCATTACTTTTTTTTTTTCTTTAGAACTGTCATTAAGAAACACAAGATAGATTTGGGGTCTAATTTTGAGTCAAGGAACATTCCAGAGATTCTACTTCTGGTAAGGAGCCTGCAGAATAAAACCACAGCTGGTTGACCTACAGCAGCACATTTCTGTCATGCATTATGGGTTTACACAATAGCAAACCACAACTGGCAGTCCACACACCCCTGTACGCATGTCTCATAATGCTAAGAGGCTAACAGCACTTTGTCTTTGTGGTGGTGGACAAACAGGACGTTACCGAAGGCAGAATGACTCTGGGGACACAGGATATCTGTGTATAGGCTTTAAAAAAAAATCTAGCCTCAAATTGCAAATGATCAACCAGCTCTGCCACCATTAGCGTGACAAAAACTGTATGGGTGTAGAATTGACTAAAAATGCAATAAAAGTTAGTTACCTTTAGAGAATCAGAGTTAAGGAGTCAATCAAAGAGGTGTCAAAGTACAATTCTGAATAAAATAAACATTTTAAAAGTAAAACCCAACAAGACTCAACTGGGCTTAGACAGAAGAAGACGAGCCACAGGATTAATAAATAAAATGAAAAATAAGACTTCCCAATAAACACCTCCCATTCTTCCCATTCAAGAAGCAACCATGTATTTGGGTAGAACTGCATATTTAATGCTTTCCCACATAAAGTCTGAAGTGTTCTCCCCCCCCCTACTGTCCCAGCACATGCTCACAGAGTACTGCACTCTGTGATATGGTCTACAGCCATAGGATTTTTTCACCTTCCGCAGTCTGCCGCTGCTGCTTTGGGCTCTAATGGCGGCTAGCAGAGCAGATCTTTCAGTCTCTTCGTCCACATAAGCCACTTTCATTGTGCTGGGGCCAGAGGTGGATATCTGATGATGAAACAAGGTGTAGCGAATCAGAATCTTTTTTCATGCTGCAAATAACCCGTTAATTGTACAATCTTTATGCGAAAAGTGTTAAGCAGCACCGCCATCACTCCTCATTTTAATGATTTCTTCATCCCTACAACGGGCTAAGCCGAGCTTGATCTCACCTTCTTCAGTTTATCTCTGGCTCCGCTCGTCTGGATTGCCTCCATCAGGCTGCTGTGCAGAGATGTGTCCTTCTCCACAGATCTCTGGATCACTGGTTTGAACTTTTTTACAGGGCCAAACACTGTCACTGCGCCAGGCCCAGAAGTCACATCACTGTTTGATATTGTGACTGTGGTTTGTGGATTCCCATCAGAGCTTACATCAGGGCCTGCCTTAGTTATGACCCTCGAGCCCTGTAATATACACAAAGTTTGTTGAAAAAGACCTTTCATAGTGTTGGTTTGGAAAGAGCCTGCGACTGTTAACTTGAATCTTACTCATGCTTACCTGGCCTGGGGATGTGATCTTAGGGGCTGTGGGAGGCTTTGAGAAAAAGTGTGGCGCACTGCTTGTTGTTGAGCTTGGGCTGCTCGGTTGGGTGTGTTTAATTTGACATTTGATGTTGTTACTGGCTGCCACTCTCATTTGGGTGGATCCAGTGGAATGATTGGGATTATTCCTGGATGCTTCTGTGACCAAAAAATCAGAACATTCTTTGGTGGATACGGTTGAATGAACAAACCCCTTCCTCTCCAATTTTACTTCTCCAACGTCCCTTTGACAGTCGGAAACATACTCTTGGTAGCTCATGGACCTCTTAGGACCTGGGCTGGGTGAAGATGAAGAGAAATTCTGCCTATTATCTGACAAAGATGATGTGGTTGAAGTCACTTCCCTGGATTGACCTGATATTTGGAAGCCAGTAGCTGTCTGTGTTTTCGAAGAAGACAAGTCAGGGATTGTTGGGGTGCTGCTCGGTTTTGCTGAGGTCTTTGGGGTGTATTTAGTGAGGGCAGATGCAACATATTGGCTTGAGGTTCGCCTTGGTGGCTTGAGGAAAGATAGGTCCATTTTCAAGTCTGGAGGTAGTGGAGGAGGAACGGTAGATTTCGAATTAGGCAGCTGAACATGTTTGGACGTCGATATATTGCCCTCTACCCCAGCCCAGCTTTTGTTTGTGACTTTTACAACTATAGGTGGTTTCTTAACCTCTTCCTCCACTACCAATTTAGGTTGAAACATCTGTGCATGGACAGAAACTGCACTTGTATTCTGATGCTCTGTGTTACTGCTCTTCAATGTGGCCTCCATGCCTCCAGTGGGACCACTGTCCAAGTGGTCTGTCCTTTGAGTTTTCCTTTGAGCCATGGCATTCTCTTGCCTTTCATTTGAGCTCCAGAAAGCTTTGGCTTTCCTTGGAAGAGAAAAATCTTCATCATTCTCAGACTCAGGTGACCTTCTAACCTTATAGTTGAAGATGCCCAGTTTCACCATATTTCCTTGATCGTCTATTTTAATAGCACCAGCAGTTGGGGTGACAGCTGATTGCAACGTAGCGTCAGGCGTTACGACAGGCTTTGGAGGGACCACAGTAAATGTTTTCATGCCCAGGCGTGACGTCATGTTGCAAGTGATTTTACCATGGGAAGTGCCACGGTACTCTCTGTGCATCAGATCAGGGTTTTTTTCACCGTTTGTGCCATTTTTCTTTATTTTGACATCAGACTTCGCTGATGACGTCTTTTTAGTGTCTTTCACAGTTTTCACACTGTTGGTATCAATTAAATTCTTCTCAGTAATCTTCTCTTCTTTTAGATCTCCTGGAGATTTGTCATCCAGAAGTATCCTGTGCTGCTCAGACTGCTCTAAGCTTCTTTTATCACTGACAGCAGTTGTGTAAGCATTATTGTTTTTGTTCTGTGGCTCCACCTTGGACTTGTGGCAAAACGCTGAACCTGTGAAGAGTAGAGGGAGACAAAGATCTTTAATCCAATTGAGAAAAGCATGATGGTCACCTTTAAGTTTTAGTATTACATACTGATATGTTGGGTGTCCCTCCTACCTTTGCTGCCAGCTGACTCAGTCCTGGTAAGAGATTTCACCCCAGGTTGAATAATATCATGCTCATAATCCTCCAGTACCTCGTCGATGGCTGTGACTGGCACATCCACATCCACGACAGACACAGGTACCTCATCGCTGTTGGTGGACAAGGTGTACGAGCAGTCTTGTGCTGACACAATGTCTGTGTAGTCTTAAAAAGAGGAAGGTATATAAATGTTGATTTCCATCCATCCATTTTCATAACCGCTTATTCCCTAATGGGGTCGCGCGGGGAATGGAGCCTAACCCAGTAGTCAAAGGGCGATGGTTCAATTTTGACTTGCAGTTACATTTAAAAAAAATTTAAAAAATTGATGTAATCTGGAACAGTTTCTCATTTTGGAGTGCAGTCATTTAACGTATTAAAGCTCTTATGTCAATCCCTGATTTAAACGTTACAGAACTCACAGAACTGCTCTGTATATATATTAGTCTATAGATTTTTGTTTATAAAAAAAGTACATGGCTGCAATGTGGAGGATGAATTGGTCTGCTTTAGCTGGACTGTGGCCTGGTGACAGTCTCCCTAACCTGCAAGGTCTTCCTCAAGGTCTGCCAGAGTCTGATGGAGCTGGGTTGTGAGCTCCGAGTCATCTTCATTGCTCTCGACCGATTGTGTCTGATGTCTGGTGTCATTGTGCCTGAAAGACACAGGTAACAAGAACTGTTGACAAAAGGCCAACTTTACATAAGAAAACAAGTCAAATAAAATGGTATACTTTCTATTTACTATTATTGTGGAGATTTAAAAAAAAAAGATTAAAGGAGTTTAGTAACTGAAACAATATATTTGTGCAAGTTCAAAGCAAATCAAAATTTTATTGGAGCCTGGAGGCTTTGAAACATGCTGCTGTTAAGATGTTATTACCATACTTTAAACTTCCCCTACTTTCTTCAAAAGTTCAACAGAGCATTCTCATGAATTAGTGTCATATTAGCCATAACAAATTGCTAAAAGGAGGCCAAACCAAATAGTATTTATCTTCTAAGAGACTTGGATTGATTCACTTTTCCTCAATGGTTCTGAGAAAATGGGGTTATAGTCTTTTTCCTGGAACACTGAAAAGCTAGAAGCACCTAGCCAAACTCTGGATTCATTATGTTTCTTGGAGTTAGAGCTTCCACCCCAGAACCCTGGGCACACAACCATACACATTTCACAACAACTTAAAAGGCGAAAAATGATCTGGAGCAGAATTCATTTTCCCAAAAAACCTTTGAAAAGGGGCCTAGAGCCATAAATATGATCGCCAAGCACAAAAAGTTGACCGGCCAGCTATGGCCACAAAACGGTGGGAGGAGCTTTCTGATATTAGCCCATTGCTGGCACAGTAAAAGATGTTGCCAGACTTGAATAAGATGAACGAGTCATGAATTGTTCATGTGAAAATGCAGGTGTTATATAGAATCTTTCCCACAGGGAATCTGAATCTGTACACTTCTATGCTTGCTTTTATCTGTATTAAGTTAGGCTGCCTCTATGGATAGCACATAGACAGCCAGGCTTTAAAGAGAACTAAAATCTTCTGGTTTAATACGAGTTAAAACACTGCAATGGAACATCAATAAGACCAACATCCCCTTTGATGTATGTCTTTTCTGTGATATCCATGACTTCCTCCATACCTGTGTATTGATCTCCAGGAGGCACATCCCTCATCACTGTCGCTGGAATTATCCCGATATTGTTGCAGCAGTTTCTCTCCTCTGGCTCTACCTCCATCCATGGAAAAGCTACCATCTGGGGAGGTAGGCTGGGTGTCAGATGGAGAACTAACCGGGCCTGATTCCTCGCCCTCTACCATTCCCTCAGAAGCTGCATAACCTTGGTCGGGCAGGCTGCTGCTGTCCAGAGACAGAGTCTCAGGTTCCTCATTTTGGTGTTTTGGGCCCCGGCCTGTGGAACTCTGCATAGAATAGAGCCAAGCTGAGAGGAGACAGAATACAATTTTTGCGTCAATTCTGGCTGTGATCACTGGATTAGACTGTTAGACGTGGTTAGCAAAAATTAACCTCCACATCAAAGACATTCCAGTGGTTTTTTGATGTGAAAGGAAGGAAGTGGAAAAAGCGTACAAAGTGTATTTATCAATGTTAGACACCTTGAGGCCACAGATTTTCTGTTGATATAATGCAATAACTTTAAATATAGGCCTTGATCTTTCACAAGTCAAGTGGAAACTTGAGATATGTTAAAAAAAACATAGAAAGGTAAAGACTAGAACAAATAGAAATTTTCTACCAGTCAAAAGCTTGTCACATCCACTCATTTAAAATGTAGGCAAAAGCATGCTCAGATGTTTGACTGGTTTTGCGTGTGTTCAAGCAGCACAAGATGCAGATGCAAGACGTGATAAAACACAGAGAAGGAAAAGAAAACTGAGGATGTGTTTAAACATTCTGCAACCACATACTCACACACACAGAAACCAGAAAGCCCCGGCCTGATATATGAAGAAGCCTGAAGCACAACTTCTTATGACTTGATATAAAACAATTTTCACTGATGTGTGGGTTGGCTGATTGTAAACAAACCCATTTAATTAGATTCAATCCAAACTGTTCCAGGTTCAAGGGAAAGATAGTAATGCCTCATACCCTCTTATCTCTTTGACACATTCATGCTCTGGTCAGTCTTGCAGATTTTTTGGAAACTTATGAACTATTTGTTATTTGGTTTTCGGCAGCAAAGCAACCATGCACAAGTGTGAATTCAACAGGTTCTCTTTAAAGCGAGTTCAACAGTGAGTGACCTTGTTTCTACGGTTTACCGTCAGGTGGAAGTGAGGGTGGGTATGAATTTGGAGCTGCACTGTGCTGCTTAAACATGTCTTCATCTCTGTGTGTGCGAGTCCTAGGCCTGGCATTTTTGGGTCTGGTCCTAATGGTGTGTGGAGAACAGTCAGTTCCTGGAGATGTGGTGATGACTCACAGGGCTGTCCTCCCAGCTCCTTCCCAGCAACTGCTAAGTCATGCCAGTTACAGCCACAACAAGCACACACACAAACTCAGATGCAAAGAAATGCACATGCACGGCGGTATGCTCCCCTTCAGGCTTGCAAATGAGTAAACATCCACCTCAAAATCCTTAACTCCGAAAGACCTTTAGCACATGCTTCTGTTATGGCCAAAAATAGCGATGCCTTCACTCCAAGGCTGTCAATAATATGTTACTAGATCTGACCACAGCAATCCATTCACTAAGGCAAATCAAAATCCTACCCTCTTCTTTCAGTCATTTGAAGTTTAATTGAGAGAAGAATTCAAACAAACATTCTGTTTCTCAAGGACAAAAACCCATTAACACATTTCCAGAGATTAAGTAAGTACATGTCCACATCTACGGCGAGCTGTGTTTATCGTAGCCAATGGCTCTGCATTTGCATCCATAGTCATTATCACATTCATGTGCCATTAAACTGGCTTGTTGTACGCTGAATAGCAAATCAGATCACAGCTTTCAACTTCTGAGAAATCTAAAATAAGTCTTCACCTCATTATATTCTGGGAAAAACTCCATATATCTTTAGTGGAGATAGAGACAGAGGTTACCGCAGCAGTTGCACTCACACAGAACTAAACCAGGCATGTTGAAACAAGAAGTGATTGACTGACTGAGCATAATTACTACATGACAAGACGCCACTTTCAATATTTAAACTTTAAAGGTGTTAACAAGTTGATTCCCACAAAAGGCAGTTGTGAAGCACGAACACAGTCGCATGGCAACAACCATCATACAACAAATCACCGCCTTTCACAGAGCTGTTTTATTTAGGAAGAGCTCTTGTACTTGTGTGTTTATATATATATACACACACACGTATATAAAAACACCTTTATAATTTATGCCTACATTCTAGGTGCCCTGTAATAACTAAAATCTGGTGTCATGCTGAACCAATAACAACCAGTGGATCATTGTGAGAAGTAAAACCATGAACATTATGTGCATACATCTCTTTAAAGAATGAGAAAAAAGGAATTAAACACCAAATTGCTTTTCTTTAAAAGTTGAAACTTAGATGCAAGACTTGCCCTAATTTCTGTCAAATAGTGAATAAAGTAGGACTGCTTACAAACACACCATGCATGTAAAACCATAGAAAAATATAGTCAGAAATCCGATCACATATGGCAGAACTGGATTATCAACAGAAATGAAGGGGGGGGAGTGCATTATCAAGGTGAAGTCCAACAACAATAACAAGGGCCATGAAGAAGAAAAATAGAGCTGGTGAAAAAGGGTTGGCAGGATGAAGAAAGGATGAAGCCAGAAAGAGCCTTCAGGAGCGTTTGGAGCGCAGACGCACAGGCCCGCAGCAGTACACTACAGAGGGAAGGGGGTGGGGTCGCCAGCAGGGTGGAGAACAATTCAAAATTAGATAGGTCAGAGATAACCTGGCCAACACAGAAAAAAACAGAGAAAAGAAAAGTCATCTGGCACTCTACAATGGGAATCTCCTTCACTACACATCCACCAAACTCCAAAGAACAGTTGAAATGCAGGAGCAAAAAAAGCACTCCAGCTGATTGGTGATGACCTTAGCCCTGACCCTGTGCACCCAGGAAATGTGGCATGGATTAGAAGTTGACATTCACAGATATGAAGTACCTTGACCCTGTGTGGACCCAGTGTGACACTAAGCTGATGGAGAAATGGAAAGCATGTTAGTATAGGGTTCAACATTCACACAGACCCGCAGGAATAAATGGATATGGCGGTCATGAAAGGGTCAAATACTGATTGGGACAGGTCAAACTGGAGCCAGAAAAGCAGAAAAGAAGCCTCTGGAAGGAACAAAAACAAGAATCAGTGGCAGGAGAGCGGCTGCCCATGTGGAACCTACACTGTGGAGCAGCTTCCTCCACCTGCAGGGAATCCTGTGGAGGGATGCTGTCTGTGGGCTCGATGGGAGGGGAAGGGAAAGGCGGAACAGACAACGTGGGGGATGGGTCATGCTGAGGTGGGTCTCTGATCGGGGAGCGGCGAGGTTTGGGAGGCACTTGTCGATCACCATCTTCTGGACAAACAGAGAGCATGCACGTCCAAGTCAGAGCCGAGGAGTCTGACGGCCACAAGAACAAGCATCGACATTTGGCAGCAGCAAGGAGCCCAATCTGCACTTAAAGTAATGAAAGCAGACAGTTGAGAGCTGTATGAAAACAGAACTTCCACTGCAGAGCTGCAAGGTTTTCCACCCTTGAGGGCTGCAGGAATTAGTGATCTAAATGTGAAACTTTTCTTACCTGAAGGTAAAAGCTGCTGACAGAGTGATTAATACTTCAACTCAGACTCAGTGACCACGAGCCCTGGTTTCACCGCAATTAACATTCTTAATTCTGAAAAGAGGAGAGGCTCCTGACACAGCTGGTGCCTTTGTTGAAGATTTATTTATGTACTGCTGAACTTTCCGTTTGTTTTTTACTCAATGTAATAATTAAAACCTGTTGATATAATTAGCAGACTAGCAGTGAGTTAATGCACTACAAAAAGATACAAATGTGCCAAGTTTGGCGATCCTTCTGTCAAAATACCTGCTTCTTGATGCCTCGTTTATCTAATTTGTTCTGTCTGCGCTTGGAACCAAAATACCAAATCATAGGAAGGGAAAATACCAGTGTTGCAGAGCTGATAATGGCTGTTACAGCCTGACCACAAAAACACATCCCTTCAAGTACAAGCAGCTCTGCTGTTACTCTGGAGGAATTTCACAATGAGGTCAAAGGGCAAAAATTTGGCAAGGTAAACGGAGCAACAGCTGAGGTTTGACGACTCGTTTCTGTTTGACAAAAACCAAAAGAGGAATGCTGTTTGGAAGGAGTTTGTTATGAAACTCTGAATTCTTACATTTTTAAACAAGTCAGTGTTTTTAACCCTTTAAGCAGAGACCTGCAGAGGGTAAAATAACAATGAGTACAGTTCTTACAGGAAGATCAACAGTGGGCTATGTTAATAAAGTTGTGAGTCAAACAAGAAGCATAATGCTGAACTTAAAATGTTACATATGGTTCTTACTATAATCCAGAATGGGAGCAAACTGACTTGTTGATATAGCAACATGGCTGTTTAACAGCTAAACAGAAAGCAATGCTTCACATGTGTGACATGAATGTGCACAATCTGAAAAACCAAGCTTTGATGAGCATGATGCTGACAGAAGGGTAAAGACACAAACAGGACAGAAATCCGTCTGGATACCATGCTAGGAAAAGTCAGAGTAATAGTCAGTGGAAAAGAGCACAGATAAACCACAGAAACCTAAATTTACGTAGTTATTTATCGACATACAAACAATTAGTCTGCAGGTGTTTGTTGATGTGCTACTTTCTCCGTTTGCTAGGTCATTGACAAAGACATAAAGCAGTGGTCTGCAAGATAAACTACGGGATCACAACCTACAGAGAGAGCCTGGGGTTGTACTTGTGCTTTTGTGGAAGACATTCACTAAAGAAACAATGGCTGTTTAATCCCCCAAACAGTGGTTTATTTTTACTCTGTGCAGACTTGCACAGCCTACCCACTTTTTTCCCCCTTTGCAACAAAGTCTTTTTAACTTTTCAAAGGCATTTTGGTTTAATAAAAGGCCCTTTGCTGATTATACCAGTAAAAAGACACATTTGAACTAATTACATATGTCTTAGCAAGTAAAAGGCTGCTGAACCACTGAGAATTTTAGAGTATGTCAGCAGTGTCCACTTGAGGTGAAGAGAAGTTGCCAAGTTTTCAAAACGTTTGTGCTAGCAGCTTGATCCTTTCTAAGGCACTTTTACCTCTTATCTGTCTTTCCATCAGACTTCCTGCCTTAAAGCTAATCTAGTCTGCCTTATATATCCCTTCTACCCTGTCAATTCCTTCCCATGCTCTGTTCTCTACACTTCATTCTGCCACTCTCACCTTTCACATCCAATTTTCTTAGGCCCACAGCTCTCTCATCTATGACCCTGTCAGACCTGACAACACTCATTTTCCACTGAGAATTTTCTGGGTAATATGGAAAATCAATATGAGGCCAACTGAAGTTCAAGTAGTTCCTGTTTAAATCTGAGACGGATCTATCCTCCTTTGGATCTGCCAACTCTCAGAGATCTGTGAATGGTTGACTGCATGTGTGAGAGAGAAAGTGAAGGGGGAACAAAGATAGCAACAGAAAGATTTGAGGGGAGAGACAGAGGAGTGTTAGAGATTGTACGAGTGAGAAACAAGGCCTCTATTGTCTCAGGAGCTATGATAGAAACCAGCTCCACTAGATCCTGCTCCTCAGCCGTGACGTGCCGCAGACGCACAATACATCGACACCTACACACACAGGCTTCTTCCCTCTCGGAGGGATATGCATGTCACTTTTGGCAGTTTGGGCCTTAGATGTTGTTCGAGTGCGACAGGTCTGCTCTCCAGAACAGACAGTCAGGGAAATCTTTACAGGCAAACGGTCCCCATCCCACTGCTTTAACATAGTGTGTCTCTACCAATACTGTCTGGCACTCAGGGATCAGCAGCCCAACTTATTATTCCACTTGATGTGTATGTGGTTTGAATCTAGCTTTCCTTCACAGGCTAACAGAGAGCAGGTGCTGGTACAAAGAATGACTCCTAGCACCCCTGTACACGAGAGCAACGGGGTGGGTATTTTATTTGTTTGCGGCCTCTGAGATGCTGTTTTATAATCTGTGTGCTTGCCATCATCATCTTCATCACATATAAACTGACATTTTTGAAACTGTTGTGGACTATTGTAATCTTACTGGAATTTACCTATCGCGCTGTGTCTGTTGTTCTCCACTTCATCCAGTTTCAGATTTAAGGCCGACTCTGTCTCCGATCTTGAGCTGCTGTCTGATGTGTCTCCGTCTTTGTTGTGGGCAGATCTGCTGCTGGGTGACTTCGGCATTGTGCTGCTGGAGCTTTTTGCTGCAGGCTGGACCTTCACAGAGCTACTTGCTGTGCTAGTGGTGCTGCAGCGGGAACCAGACAGCTCCAGGTCAGTGTCAGAGTCGTCGAGACTCTGGCAGAGTTCAGAGCTGGAATCCTGCACAGCCAGGCTGTCAGAGGTGCTGCTGCTTGTGGATGGACAACTGTGGGTTGGAGAGGCCTTGTGCACAGGTGGAGGCTGTACTGGTATTTTAAGAGGAGATGGTTTTACCATTTGTACCCCCACAGAGGCATTTGGGATTTTGGCAGACTGTTTCACTTTGCTGTGGTAGACCGGGGTGGGTATTTCAATAGTGGGGCTTTCGGGAGTAGGAGCAGCAGGAGTTGAAGTGTAGTCAGATTCCTGGGTGATGGAAGATGGAGTGGGAGGAGGGGCTGGAGCCTTTCTTTTCCTAAGCTGGCTCTCTGAACCAAGGCCCACCTGGTAGAAAAGAAGTGAAAAGAGGGAGGAAGACAGGAGAAATTTACTTCACATGAAGACCTTATACGTTTGTGTGTGTGTGGTGTGTGTGTGTGCCTGTAGGGAGGGGGGTGGGCAACCATAAACTATGCAGTAGAATCTGCCTGCCAGGATTAAAATAGAGTTTACTACAGAGCAATCAAATCAAATGGTGTTCTGGCAGAGGTATGGCTCTTCAAATTCCATCCAAGTGTCAACATTCCTTTTAAATTATCCAACAAGAAGACAAATAAGGTCAGCCAGGACTGCAGTTAATACGCTGCGTTAAGAGCTTTCTGTGTGTTGCTGCAGTGATTCTTAGTTTTTCTGCGGGCCCATCAATGTTTAAATCTAACGCTGCTGTGCTGATTTGCTTTTTCCACAAAATGGTGGCGACTTCAAAAGGTTGAAAGTGAAAGCTCATGTGTTCGAAAACTAATGCAAATAGCAATGACAAAAACACATTCTGAGACTACATGTTCCTATTTTCCCTCTCTGCACACCTCTGCAGCAAAGTCCCACCAGAAAGAAATCAAACCACGGAAAAACTGAAACATTTATTCAGCTGAACGGAACCGTATAGACTAGATGGATAGAACACCCTGATGGGGAAAAAGAACCAACACAAATCTAAACAGGTGTTTGCAGGGAATTTCTGTGACAAATAAAAGAGTTTAAGAGTAAAACAATATGATACAGACTACACTCAATAAAGTCAGTCCATGACAAATCCTTTTAAAGTGCTGAGGGCAGGCTACAACAAAACACATATGCTAATTCTAAAAAAAACAATCATTACCATTTCTGCTTTCAACTCTTCCTCACCCTGAAACTCAACAAAGAACGTGCCCAGAACTGCATACACTGTTGCATCATTCAGCAAGAGGGAGATCAGGCCACCTTAACTTTCAGCAGGCAAACTGGGTTCACACATGTGAACTCAATGAACCCAGTGCAGGGCATACTATAGAAATCCAAATGCCCCCCCCAATGGGCTGTCTTTCCCTTCATCGCTCCCCTGCTTTTATCCCTCCTTAGCATTTATATATGAATAGGAACACAACACTGGAAGTGGGCCAAAGTTGAAACTGCGATGGATGACTGACTTGCCTATAGAGATGGACCTGTGCGAGTGTCCTGGGAACATGTATGTAGTATGTGTGTAGCCTATGTTTGTTCCTGTGTCCCCTCCACAGCTAAACAACAGCCTACAGTCGAGCCAAACTACGAAAAGAACATAAAAGTTACGTTCACGTATCGGTATTTGCATGCGGACCCGTTGGTGTGTCTGAACAGGCGCATGCACACTCTAGTATGAGCAGTTCGTCTCACATCTCACTCTGAGCTGGAGTGTGTTGATTAGGAGGTTGTTTAGCAGGGTTAAATCTGTGTTGCTCTCTGGAGGTTATGGCGCCATGACTGGGACCGCAGCAGGCATTCAACCATGTTACAGTAGATTCAAAATTACACTGGACCACATTCAAAGTCAAATCGAGTAGGAAATATGAACTATGTTTGTGAGGACTGATGGTGAATGATGATGTTCATTTGCAATGTTTGTTGTCCATTTAGAGCATGTTCGAATTTACGTTACACAGGAACAAAACCAAAACCAAAAAAAAGTTCCACCATGAGGGATGAGGGTCTTTTAAGTTAAAAAGATGATTGTCCACCCCCCTCTCCATCATGCAGGATTCTCACTCTTGTACGCCTAAAGTAAACTCGAGTCATATTACATTAAATCACAAGCAACAATGTCAAATGAAATCAATCCACAGCTGTGGAAAAGAATCATGAGCTCACCGAAGAGCGTCCATGTAATTATATTGTGAAGGGCGGTATGATGATGGAGATGACAGAATGCTTAAGAGTCAACATGCATCCTGAATATACACATGTAAAAATAAAATAATCCCTATGTACTGGTTTCAAAGATTAGTATCCATTCTGTTATCAAATAAATTAAAATACAGGTTGATCAAGTCACACAACTTCCTTTAGTTACTGAAGGTTAAATGATGATGGACTTTGTCTGCCACCATTTAAATCAAGGAACATGCTTCTTTTATGACTAATTGCATTACATGGGAATTAAAGGAACCTGGTTTTTGCAACAAAGATTAGAGAACTGAAACCAGATTGGGATATTCTGAGTTCACTAAATGTTTCACTCTATGGTTTGTTAGGCTGAGGGCCCCATGTTGAAGCATGTTGATCAGATGGTGTCATCTATAGAGGCTTCAACCTGGTTGCGTGACCATTCATCTACTGTTTTGAGGGACTGTTGTTGGTTAAGGGCCTTAGTGACAGAACAACATTAGAGTGCTAATGTGGAATGCAAAACAAAGTATGTGTAAGCATGAGAGGAGGTGATGCTATATTTGTGTGTTCTGAAGCATGGCAGAATGTATGATCATATTCACAACCGCATGAGTGCGCACACATGTATGTGTGTGCACGTGCATGTGAGAGGTAATAATAGCAACTGAACGATATCAACATTCAGGGCACCAAGGTCATAAACACTAACAGCAGGCTGGCAGACAGTTGGTGTGTGTTAGTTATTGTGGGTGTGTTATAAGGAAGATGTGTGGGTGTGCACGTTTGATGAAAGGAGTTTTATGTTAAAAAGTTTTAACAATGATTGTGAGGGTGGCGGGGGGGAGAAGAGGTTGAGACACAAGGCTGACCCAGATCCTTTGTCATCCAGCTTGTCCTACTAACCTACTGAAATGTAATGTTTTCTTCACCCTTTCCCCTCAGAAACAGTGATCAGGCGCGGTTCACTTTGGGTCAGCAGTGCAGTGGCAAAGTGGCAGCACAAGCAAAGGCATCATAACAACTGAGCATGAGCAATCATGTGTAGTCAGATACTAATCCATGGAGACAAGAGGTGCGTTACTGAGAAACAGTCGACTGCTTTTCTATGAACTGAATGTCAGCTCAATGATGACCTCTCTAAAACAGGAAGCAAACACACATATTAGCTCTTCTGATCGTGCATAAAATAAAAACCTGATGGCAGCTACCCACAGTTACACTGTAAGCCTTTTTCCCCCACAACATACCTTTGTGCCTAACTCAAAAAATTAGTTTTTTTTAAAGTGACTTACTATGTTTACTTTTCAGTCAAAGGTTTAGGCTGATTTTATTGATGCAGCAACTCTCTTCTTTTAGAATCTTAGATCATAAAGCATGCTGTATCACCCACTTTGGTCATTTGCATCCTTTTGAAGAGAAACCCCAAATAGTGCACAGCAGTGCATGAGTCAGAAGACCTGCTGTTTACAGCTGTCGCACAGCAAAACCAAAACGAGGACCTTAAAGGAAGGATGGATCAAGACCAGGATGAACAGAAGAAGTGCTGCTTGCTGTATTTGGCAATGATGGAAACTCTCTTGACGTATCATCAGCCACTGACAGGATAATGTCCTTCCTTTATCCTACGTATTAGTCATTATTTCATCTGCCTTGATTGGCTTCTCTCATCCAGCTAAAGCTGAGTCCACTGTTGTGGAAAACAGTAAAACCCTTAAAAAGACTAAACAGTGCCCCACATGCATCAGCAGTGCCTCCATTTTCTCAGGCTGGCTGAAACATCATTTTAGTGTGTGTGTGAGTGAATGAAACCTGGCGACCATTCGATAGAATTACCCGGCTGATCAATAGAAAGAAAGAGAAAAAAGACCTCCTTCTCCTGCCAACTTTCTACTTTGCTGAGTGACAGCTCACCATGAAGAACTGCTCAGGAAAATTAATCACTCCATAAAATCCATAGGCACTGGCAGAGATGCAGCACGCCTTAAAAATAATTTGTGCAACAAAAAGTATGACACTTTTCAAACAGGAAAGACAAAAAAAAAGCACAAAAAAGAGAAACACACACTTATAACATCAACTGACACATTCAATGACTGTTTCAACTCCTTCTACAATGTGGTATTTCACATTGTGTCTGAAATACAGAGATTTTTCACCCTGACAAACATCTCCATGAAGTGCTTTGTTGCTTTCTTTGTTACTACTCATACCTTTGTGAGGACACCTGCAACAGGTGCATGCCGCTTCAAATAACTGCATAAAAGTTGCTGCTACAAGTTGTCTTCAGTCTCCCTGTTGCCGATTACATTTTCATCCATCCCTCTTCTATATCCGCTTATTCCGAGTCAGGTCTGGGGAGGACTGGAGTCCGCCCCGGCTTTCTTTGGGCATGAGGCAAGGTACAGCCTGGACAGGTCCAATTAAATGTGATGAACAGAGTTAAGTGAGCACAACTCCCTCCATAAAGTAGGATGAAGGATGTCTGGGAGAAAATCAAGCCAGGGGGTTGAGTCAACTGGAGACGGTAAAGATTTCTATAAGTGTTTCCATCAACTCCTTCAACTGTCCTCCAGTTTGTCTTAGGTTGTTTACGGTGAGAACAGTTGTTTCATTAAGACCTGCATGTCTGCTATCGCTGATAAATAAACATGGCTAGAGGGCTTAAGCCTGCCCACAGTTGACCCGGGAATGAAGCCGGAATATATCAGAACAAATATTAAGTTACCAGACTCCACTCCAGTTCAGAGCACTCACGTTGCGCCTCTAACAGGATTTGTTTGAAATGGAACAGCTTTCTTCTCCTGGGTGGTTACATGAGTTCAAATAGCAGAGAATAATGATGATGCCAAATCAGTTGGTGCAACCAGAACATTAAAAAAAATATAGAACAAGCACAAGTATGTCCTGTTCTAGCTGTAAAACTGAGCCACCTGGGTCAAATGTCTGGCCAGCCAGCTGACTTTTTAAAGCTGACTTTAAAAAGGGAGAAAGAGAGAAAGCATGCCAAACCGTATTCAAAATAAGGATGAAAACCATCTGCCAGGGTTTCCCAAAAGGCACCTGTGATCCAAGTCATACACTTTACTAATTTACCACAGGATTCTTGCGTGGCACAGCCTGACCCTTGACCCGAATCCAGGACAGCGCTGCTGGGGAGGCCCAAAGACGAACGCGGATCAATTCACTATCCAACCTCGATGGGTTTGATGTCTGTGCTGGGAACAAGAGGAGGCAACTACAAAAAAAATGCAAGTTTGTGGGTTCGCCCCACAGAAAACCAGACTGGATAACCAGACTGAATACCCCCAAAAGCTATTTTTAATTTTAGGCTATGAAAACCCAAGTGCAAAGATGTGCATATAATACATTTTCACAATTTCCCATCCATAAGTGGACAAACGGTCCAAACAGCTGCTCCAGAGGTGGAAAAAGAACATGTGGTTTGGACCGAACAAAGAACATACTTTGGAAAATCCTAAAACTATACTCCGGCCCCACAAAGCCCTGCTACTACTAAACAATCCACGGTCAGAACTTTGGGGGATTTCATTTGCTGAGAGAACTGGGACGTCTGATTCAGCATCAGTGTTTCTGCTGGCACAGTTGTTTGTTCTTGTTTTCAAAATGTGTTTATACACTTTTTAAGCACTTTCTTGCCAGCAGACATCAAGATTTGCTTGTCTTGAACACAAGACTTGAGGTGGATTATCACTTTCACCTAATGCCTCTCATCTAACCTTTGGCTTGGATCACACTCTCTGCACTTTGGTTTCACAGAAACCTGCTGTGTAAATTAATTTTAAGCGTTTGAATTCAAAGATTTAAAAAAAACAATTCCAGGCACAAAAGGGACATTAATATATTACACTGACATAACCCGTAAGAAATGCTCACTGAACCTGTTTTTCATTAATATACTGACCAAACTTTAAGGCAATAGAAGTGCAGCATCTATTTGGGATGAGGAAATCAGGATAAAAATGAGAAAAAAAACACTTGTTACCTTCAGTTCTCTAACTCTTCACTTACCAGCACAGAAAAACTTTTTTTGCCAGGCTGTGAAGCTTAAAAACCTTGCTCGCTTTCTTTGTCAGAGTAGACATAGTTGTATTCTAAAAACAAGATAACAGAAAGAATATAGACTATAAAGCAGGAGAGTATATTCTCTGCTCTTTAATAGTTCAATAGCATAACAGATTCACCATAGCACAACAGTACTTCTTATAGCCCTGATCAATCCAAGCCATACTCAATAGTCTCCCATGTCATCACAGAAGTTGTGCCACTCTGAATGGCATTCAGGTGTGCTTTTGCTGAGCTTTGTGGGGCTGTTGTGTTGCATCATGCTTTACATTTAGCACCAGGCTGTGGCAATAACCGCAACATTGTGTTTTGCTTGCATCATCCTCTTTTTACTGCTTTCAATTTTTGAGACCGCAGCCTCATTTCTGGCCTGTTCTTTTTTTATTTGCCTCTGAGATTGCATAGACCACATGAATCAAAGACAACTACCGAAGGATCCCTAATATGACCACATTACAACACGGAATTACAAAATACACCCAACAAGCCTCTGCTGGCCTATTTTCTGCATTAGTTTACCAAAAAATGTTTCAGATGCTTAAGTTACAATCCTCTTAGAAAGCTTAAAGTAAAAGGAACAAGTCTTTATGGAATGTTATATGCAGAGAAACCTAAAGTAATTGTAAAGTGATCACTTGTTGTTCACATGAGGGTTGCCATGAACTGTGTCAGCTTGATGTAACATTTGAATTGCGACGTTATTTTTTTCCTGACACTCCTGATTTTGACACCAATGTTAACATAGCTATGTTCCTTCTTTGATTTAAATAACCGCCCTTTGTCATCTCTGATACTTCAATGGCCATTTAAAGCACTTTGGCTTCGTTATAACAATCTCGTCAGTCTCTGAGCTTGTATTGCGATGTCACTGCCCATTACTGCATCTTGCAGTCGTAATTAGTCGACAACCTAAGCTTGTTAAACACAGAGGGACATCCAGAATGAGGACAGTGATGACAAAGGGCTGCCCTCAGATGACCTGTGATTATGTGCCTAATCATCTTCTCTCTTAAAAACATACAGACACACACAGACACACGCACACGCACACATGGTCTGTATATACACGCCAAAGGGGCAAGCAAAATTATACAAATGTTTTTGGAACAGTTTAAGGATAGCAAGTAAGTAAAATACAAAAGAAACAGCAAATACCACTTATACACATTCTTAATCCAAATCTATGGTGTTGACATTTATCTTCAGTGGAGCTGAAACTTTTAGAGGGTGATGAGTTACTTTACCGACAACAAAAGTGTGCCAGTATCTAACTGCCTCCAGGCACTACAATCACATAAAAAAAATGTACTAAAACATCTCATAGTGATTTGATTTGATTCGACATGTACAATTGTTCTGTAGACCCAAGTCATGCAGTGCCCTTTAATGTCAATGGCTCTCAGAAACTATCCTGATCAGTCCTGGCTGCTCTGGCACTCTTCACTGTCATGAAACTAAATTCTTCTTAATAACACACCTAAAAAAGAAAAAAAAGAAAGAAAAAAAGCAGGCCAGGCATACAGTACACCTCACTGTGTGAACACCTCACATATCTATTGTATCCTCAGTTGACTCTGGCTAGCCAAACATACCCCTCCTACCAAATGATGAGACCATTTGACTGCCATTATTCTGATCATCTAAGTTTCTTCTGCTGCTGCAGAGTAGAACATAGATGTTTGTGCCAAAATGATCAAACTGAGGCTGCTTAGATGACCAGTTGTGTCCGCTGACAGTCTGTGCTCAGTCTCTGAAAACAGAGTGCTGAAACCTGAGACGTGGCCTCCTGCGTGTGGATGCACATAAATACGTACGCGACGCTGTGTGCACTGGGGTACGGGTTCAGAGACGACTAAAGAGGGAAATGGAGCGATCTATTATTGGACCAGTCATTGGGTTTTCAGATAACCTTACCAGCTACTGCTCTGTTTAGCTGCCCCTGCCAGTCCCAGAAGTGTCTCTGTATTTTGGATCAAGTGTCAGTCAAAACTCTGAGGTTGACAGGTGCACGGATCAATTACAATCTCAGTATGTACAACAACAACTTTGGAGTAGCGGTGTGGTACACTAATGCATCCATGTGGAACATTTGGTTTTAGCCCAGATAAATTTACTTTGGTAGAGTTAGAACCTCTTTAGACACACTGGAAGAAAATGTGACTAGTTCTTCTGTGGCTTTAATCCTTCTGACCTCTTCGGTTATTCTCCTCATGTGATACTTCTAAAAAAGAAATGTCTGCGCCTTCGTGCAGAGGGTTTGAATAATCAAACTAACTAGGGCGAGAAGTTTTCCATGTGATTACAAGAAACAACATTCTAAGTATAACATTTATCAGGAACACAGGCTCTTTAACATAAACAAGACCTATTATCAGAGGAAGCAAGAAACTTGGTTGCTACACAACATTTCCCAGCATGCCGTCATTACACTATAATGAGGCAGCGGGGAGCTGTTCCTCTAATATATGTAATACAGGACACAGGCCACATCACCCAAAGGAAAGGGTGCCGCAGACAGATCGCAGCACTCTCATTACTACCTCACACTGCAGATTAGGCTGAGTGACTTCAACCCCTCAGCAGATTTTAGGCTCCCCTTTAATGACAATATTGAGCTGTAAAATGTTTTAATCGTATTTTCAGATTATTTAGGAATGAAGGGGTTATGTGGCAAATCTTAATATGAGCATTAGTTTAATCTTTAGAGCAATTTATGGAGTACCAGTACTTTATCTTTTAAGAATCAACTACTACAGTTATTACACTAAAGTGTTTTTGCTTTCTCTTACCTGGTTGCTTTCAAAGCCTGCATGTCCCATGCTGGGTGTTGGGGCACCAGGTGGTGCAGGGGCTCTTCTTTTTTTGGTCTCGGTCTTTGTGGAAATCCTGGAAATATTACTGATTGACTGCGACTGGTCAAAGGTGCCAGGCAGAGCCTCTATGCAGTGGATTTCTGAGACTGTAGTCAGACCCTGAGAATAAAAAAAATAAATAAATTAAAATCTTAATTTTACTGCCAAGTTTACAAAGACATTGTCTTAATTCTGACAAGGAATGAATTTCCAATAAAATCTCCAAGAAACAATGAAAAAATCAAACACATCTTAAGTCCCGATAAGACTGTAAACTACCGGTAGAAATCCTTATAATTAGCAGGGATTAAGTTAGGATAAAAGCAAAGAGCTGTATTGTTAGCATTCACGCCTTGATTTAAACACCACACATGCAATGAACGGGCACATTTGTAAAGACATCATCCGCTCTTCAGCCATGAAAATTATTTCTACGTTTATTTGATCAAACTGAAAGTGCAAGCTCATTTTCAAAGGGTGGCTGCCCCTGACTAAAAGCATTTAAACAAAAATGCTTTTCAATGTCTGATCAAAGAGAGCCTTGAGTGTCCCTGAAAATCCAAGCTTTCCTGCGGCTAAGCTTGATACAGAGCCTTGGCACAACGGGAGCAGCGCGCTGTGGTGTGCACCCCCATGATCGGAGGAAAGTGTTTTAAAGCAGATTAATTGATGAGTTCAGACAATGCTTGAACAGAACATCAAAGAGCAAAACGGAGAATTAAGTTAAGCTCAAAGGAATTCTTTTCGGCCCAGGTTAGAATACTTCATGGTAGCCAAGAATGAAAAAAAAAAAAGAAAAGAAAAGAAATCTGACTATGTAGAAAAAGTGCCATTTAGGGGGCTGATTTCTGCTTTTTGTAACACATATGAACCTCACCTACAAGAAATAAAACCGTTTAAACTACTCTTAAAATTACATCCCGAAATCTGACAGAATCACACCAACAACTGTGCATCCTAACACAAACCCATCTTAAACCACAAGGGGAAAAAAGTGTAATGACAAACAAGCACAGAACTCCTGTGTCTAAAAAATGCATGATGCACAGAGGCTGATACATTCATGGGCTGACAGCAGCAAGAGAAGGACAGGGGGAAGAGAGGCAGATGGTAGATGGAGGCTGACAGAACAAAAAAGGAATGTTGGAAGAAAGGACTGATGTGATTTCCATTTGGAGTCGACAACAAAAAAACCCCCAAAAAACATGTTTTTTACTCCACATGAATATAATAATCAAAGTGGAGAATTCACATGAACTCTATATGACTTTTTCACCTGCTCTCATCCTTTTTTTTTCCTACCCTGGTAAACAACGTGAAACCTGTCAAAACAGCAAGAGAGAAAAGCAGAACAAAATGTACTCCAGCACTTGGGGGGAACCCAAGTTTGCAGTGCATTCATAATTGCAACGTGAGCAACACAAAAGGAGCAGAAGGAAGATCTGCATAACTAAGAGTCTTCCATGTTGTTTCTCCTGTGAATATATGTCAGCGCACCAAAGACTAATCCACACAACCAAGCAGAAACAAACTGGATCATAAAGAAATAGGTAAATAGCAGATACCACATGTGATAATAATCAGGCATCCTGTCCATTAAATAAAGACTACCAGGTCTTGCATCCATGTGCACTTCACTGCCCTTTATGACTGAAAGATCTGAGTCTGTTTCATCCACGAACAGGAGACTGCAAAAAATATTTCAAGTTTGGCTCTGAAGTTTGGAGCGTAATGATGATCAGACGAAGGATGCCAATTCAGCTTTTATTGTCTTATTTCCCTTCTTTAGCTGGAAAACTCCATGTTTGAACATCTGTTTCTATAGAGATATTGACTGACAGGCTGCAAAGAGCCACACGTCTCAAAGCCTTCCTTAAAGACTTCAGCTGTTCAGACAGGGAGCGGGGGCAGCTGATGGAGGCTCTCCCAGAAAATGTTATGCATTCAAGTTCAGGTAGAGTAATGAAATTGAGGAAATCTGGAACTGAGGTGCTTTCAGAAAAAGTGTACCAAGAGTTCTTTCTATAAATATGAAATAAGGAATCTTTAAAAATTTTGCATGCTTGGTTTCACCTCAGAGCTCTTCGAAGTCAAACAAGATAAGAAGTTCATCCTGTATGGAGCCCCTCCTCATTTAATTAATCAACCATTCGTCACAATATAACTGTGTTTGCTAAAGATGATAAGTACTGTCATTATTGTGTCTAAAAAAAATGTAGGAAATGTAGGAGCTTTGAAATCCCACTCAAAATTCAGAAACTGTGGCCTCTGTCATTTCATTTTTATGCTGCGGGTTGACAATTGGAGCAAAGTTTTGTTTAAATTTTTGTGTCAACGGGAGCAAAGATGTGCAATGTAGTTAGGAGTGCTAAGAACAAGATGCACTGCTCCTAAATGGAGCACTCTGACCAAACCTTAGTGATACCAAGTCAGCACATACTCACACACACATTTACAATAACCCACACAGTAGTTTAGCTCTTAATGAACAATTAGAGATAAGAGACTGGGCTTTTAGTGCTAATGTAGCCAAGGTAGGGTAATCTGATGCCTTCAGGCTGATAACACAGTGTGTGTGTGTGTGTGTGTGTGTGTGTGGTTGTGTGCTTTCTTGTGTGCACAAAGGCATGCGTGTGGTCTGATAACAGCCCCTGGCTGAAAAACAATCATATCAGAGAGGGAAAGGCCCAGCTGCATTAAAGCCCACTGGAAATGATAATATGTCTGAGAAGCAGAAATATGAAAAATAAAAATAAAAACCCACCAAGTGTCAGATGTACAGAAAAAGATTTGAGCTATGTCTCCATTAGTTTACATATGTGTGTCATTCATGCTCTGAAGATGTTTTTTTCTTTAAAGTTTTATCTAAGGTTTAAAATTAATGATTCAATGAAGGAGGGTGTGCAATCTGCAGCGTGTAATAAAGGGACGCAAAAAGAGCAACTCTAAGCTGGAAAAGGAGGAAATAACGTGGGCAATGCTCAATGTTCAGGATATCAGCTAACAAAGACGCAGAGGGGCTGAGTCAAAGGTTTCAGCTTGCTGGAAACCTTAATTGAAGTAGAGGGAGGCCAGGCCTTATTTTGTTTTGTTTTGTGTTTTAACTAATACAATTACGTGCCATCTTGATTATGTTATGGCTTTAAGCAGGTAAAGAATGATCTAATGGAGGATCTAAATGTGTATCTGGTTTACACTGAGATGGTTCCGGGGAGTTTGGGATAGATGCTGACTATCACACAGACCCAGAGATATAAAGGCATGTTAGGAGTGTTTTTATTAATGTAAATCATGTAAATTACCCTGCAAGAAATTCTACTTCCCACTGATCATTTATTTAAAGTATTTCAAAGTATTTATTTAAAGTTTTAGGTGCGTGCCACATGGAACTGAGCGCTACTGATACTCATGTGCGCCTTGGTCCTTAAAAGATTGCAGAAAAATAATTGTTGATTGATGTTTACATAGGTTCCTTAAGTAGAAAATGTAATGATGGTCAAGACTAAGAGTTCTAAAGCAGGTTAGACAGACACTGCGCTCTAGAGGACTTCAGCATGTACTGCAACAACTCTTGTTGGCATGATGGTGTCAAATTATGAAGCTGGCACAGAGCTAAAACCTAGATGTGTATGAATTTAAACCAACCACATATTTGCACACAGACCTTTCACTCACTACTTTAAATGGAGACAGAGACAGCTCTAAGCCCTTTATATGAGCCTCCAATAGAACTCTCTTAAATTAAGAATTTCTGCCTTCATTGTAGTTATTTTGTTGTTTACTTACATGTCTGTCAGCATTTTATGTTCAACATGAAAATAGTTTATCACCAAGTTTGAATTTGAAAAATGGAAGATTTCTTTGGAACCACAACTCAATTCATCAGATTTGGCCACTGAAGAGTCCCTTTCGGATAAGTGGTTCTCTTGGCTTTCTGATGGTCTACAAAGTAAAAAATTTTAAATGGTTATTTATTTTCAATTTTCAAATGAATGCATTTTTTTGTAAATACAACCAATTAATCAACTCTTTTAAAGAGTCTGTTCACTAAGGCCTTGTCAGAAATAGTCGCTGAAACTTTGGCTGTCAAGGAGGCCCTTTTAAAGAACAAAAAGAGGGAAAAAAAGAAACTGGATAAAAATCAGTTGAGACGGCTCCTGACTGGAGGCCGGACCTCAACATTGTTCAAGCAGTGTGAGATCATCAGACAGAGAACAGAACAAAAAAAGAGCCAAGAAGAGCTTTGGGGTGTCTTCCAAAAAAGAGGAGAACTATTCCTGAGGACTGCTTAAAGAAAAGGAAAAGGCTTGTCCAAGAGGGTTCAGACGTTGTCGTAGAATAACAGTACTCATACAAATACCCTCTTTAAAGCACATTAGAATTTATGTTGTCTCTGAGCTTTTTTTTAAATTTAGGATATATTAATTTCTTTATGCATCAGGCAAAAATATAACGTTTAAAAAGATCAAATCTAAATAAAAGCAACAAGTGCATTCTATAATTTGAGCTTAATTTATTTTTACATTAATCAAAATTCCTTTTTATTCCACTCAGAATGATGGAATACTCCAGAGTTTAGATCAGATAATAATCCTGTTTCTGCTAAAATCGACACGGTGAGACATGTTAGTAATACTTACATTGGAATGAGTGACTGAATTTGGGATTATTCTATCATCACAGTGATCCATGTCCATAGATGTGGTCTCTGCCTGCAAATGGAAGGCACAACCAACATGCAGCTTTCAACTGTCCAGCCATGCTTTAATAAACACAGCAGCATGCATTGCTCAATGTTAGTTATTTTTCTGGTGAAAGAGAATCTTGTAACAAACCGTGTGTATTAAAGTATTCACAATTGCCTAACCACATGTTTTTACACCTTTTTAGTTGCTTGAAAGAATAAAGATGGAAATTCTAAAAGAAAAAACATACATGTGACAAAAATAGCACCAACGTGCCCAAATGACGCAGACCATCCATCAGCATCAACAAAATAACAGGTAATATTAGGATTAAACCTAGTCTCGATTTCTGCATGGAAATTCAAGAATTTGATCCGCCTTCTGTTCGAATATCTGAACTTTTCGTATGCCCTTTTTTAAATGTACATTTCACCCAAAACAAAAACAAAGAAATTTATGCAGAGAAAATCAAAAAATGTTTTAACTGACAGACAATCCAGGCTTTTATTTTATTTAGCCAAAATCTATCCAGTCCCTGATATTAAAAGTAGACGAGGCTTACTTTGGATTTCCGGCCGCTGAATGGAAAGATACCCAGTAGGCCTTTCTTTTGTGGTCTTCCCAAATTGACAGTACTGGAGCAAATGGAATCTACAAAACGATCAAGAGGGGAAGCACAGGCAAATGAATTTTGTGACAATGAGGCAGTACAAACTGTTCATATTAATGGGAGGGGGAATTGAGTCTCTTAATGACAGTATTTTGGATGTTCATTTAGAAGACACTAAATACCTCTGAATGCATAAAATGACAATAAAAACAAAAACTATGATTGGTTTAGTCATATTTGTCAAGTGTTAACAGTGCACATAGAACAAATGAATGTTAGTCCACAAAATCTTTTACTTAATCAACATGTCTAAATCAATGTGTGTTAGTTTTAAATCAAATATTTTGAGACCATCTCTATACAATATTAGTCTCAGACATCTGATATTCCTAAGTTCTTCAGCAGGGGGAGTAATTGCTTCATTATTTTTACAGTCTAACTCTATCAATCATTCAAAACATACAGAAAGGCAACTATAAATGTTTAGGAATACTTCTGCCATCAGCAGGGGACAAAAAAGGAAACGTAACGAGTTCAAGGATAATCGACTATTCTAAAGAGATATGTACAGTCTGATTTGATAAATCTTGAACTGAAACGTTCACAAAAGGCACCAAAACTACCACACTTAACTGAATGAAAGTCATTTAGAAGAGGGCCAGCTAAACACTTGAGGGTTCAGTGAGGTAACAAAGCAGGGTTAATGAGCAGGCAGCAGCAGAAGGGTTATGCAGGCAGCACTAAGGCAGTCAGGACTTGGGACTAATACCTGAGTAGTTAAGTGCAGGTGCAGAGGCTGTTTTAAGCTGGAAAACTGAAAAACATGACAAGTTTCTGAATTACATCGAGTCTGCTGTATTTGCTCCACACAAGGTAGTGTTTCCCCAGAGGAAGAGAAAATGTAAACATTCCTATCGATCCTAACAAAACTGTAGATTGTCATTCAAAACTACAGTAGCTGAATACTTGCCACAGGTGAAGCCTAGCTTATGACAGAATTATTGCACGATACTGACTCACCACAAGAATGATGTCACGTTTACCATATCCCTGTTTGTGTCCTTCAAGGCGATATAAAGTCTTATCAATTCCACTGAGAAAACAACAGAACTTATGACTAAAGGCGGGTGTGGACAATCAGCAAGGTGTTAAAAATAAATTGCTCTGCCTCCTGCCAAGGTGCACCACATCTTCCAGTGTTCTTTTGTCGATTTGTCTATGTGTTTGTTTGCTCTCTATAATCCGACCGTCCCCATATTCATTCACAACTATGTCACAGGATAGTGGGGTGGTACATCCTACTGATGGTGGAGCTACTCCAAAATCTTTAATGTGGAGTGTGATGGCAAATTCTGATCACCTGACAACAAGCTAGCACTTGGCCTCCCTGTACAGGCTAAACGTATGAACTGGTAGTATATTTGAGTTGTCAAAAGACGGGATTGTTTTTCTATGGATGTGATCCACTTTAAACAGCTATTTATCATATGTTTAATATCTACTATAATAATGTTACATCTGAGATGCAATGACCCAACAGCTGAGCAAGCCAAAGCACTTATCAGTAATAAACATTGTGTCCTTCATCTGCTTGCCCTTGCCAACAGACAACAGAGCATAAACAAGGTTAGAATCTATTAAACCTCAACCAAGAGTTCAGTATATACCCTGCAGAAGTCCACCACAGCACTTCATGGATACAGAACACTGTGGCTGAGGTTACCTGTGCTCTGATCATGCACGTAGAGCTCCTTGATCCCCAGCTCTGTCAGAGACTTGTTCAGCGGCAGCTCATGACCACTCGCGCCGTCCTTCAGCAGCAGGACATGTGCAGGGTCAAAGTCACACTTGCTACAGATGACTGGTATGAGGGCCTGGAGTGGAGCCAACGGGTTGACCCGCACCACAGCCTTCTGGCTGACGTGGTAGTTCACCATCAAACGCACCGTTTTCTGAAACGCAGAGGGAGAAATGGTGGACGCAGTTCATCACTGGATCACATTTGTGGTTCACATAAAAGTCTCCTTAAAGCAAAGCGCCGTGGTCACTGAACAGTTGCATTAGAGGAATTCTCCACATAACGGGAGTGTCACAGACAAAAATGCAAGATCCCTATGTTTTACAAGGATTTGTCAAAAAAAGGGAAAACAAGATAACCCATCTAATATTCTTGTCTGAAACAGAAAAATGAACTGAAAGATGAAGGCAGTGGCTTAGCGTTTCATACTGTAATCTCACTACAGTCTAGACAGATTTTGATTTACAACAGTGATATCTAAGAGCACCAACGCTGAAAGCAGGAACAAAATATTTTCCTCTAATTAGTTTTTTGTAAAACTTGTCCACAAGCACCACACTTACAAAACGCATAGCTAGAATCTAGGTTCCAATTTGTACTTTTTAATAGCCGTGTGCAATCTACAGACTTAGGAAAATATTCTCCATTTCATCTCAGTAAACTGAAATGCTTTTCCAATACTTAATCCTTCCTATGTAACTGCTTATGGGTGGCTTAACGACGGGAAATGAATGGAAATCAAGACGGATTGAACATTAATTAATTACTTAATTTTTTTAAATTAAAAAAAGATATGGTCTTTATACAACAAAGTGTATAATATAATATCTTGCTTGGATGTACTCTGCTTCCTCCGGGACTGCTGCATTGTGTTTAATCTTGTATCAAAAGAAAACGCACAACACCATATAATGCATCAGCTCAGCATTCAACAGACTGCTACATGATGATTATTTTAAATCAGAACCAAATCTCAAATGGTTCCAACAAAACTTTACAGTCGGTTGAGACAAATGGAATAGAGTTCTTTTGGATAGATAGATAACTGACAGCAGTGTCTGAAATAGTGTTAGCCTCTGGCCTCAGGCCAGGTGAGGCCAAAAGCAGACAGAGCTGCCAGTGAGCTCTGAGAAGAGCAGAGAAATAATGCATGGTAACTAAAGGTAAGGAGCTCATCAAATATTCAAACCGTGAGCAGACAGTGAAGGAGAGGAAGAGAAGAAGGAGCAGACACAGGGGCAAATGTAAAGTTGAAACAAGACAATTAAATGTAAAACATCAGTAATTAAGAAACAAAGGTAAAGAAAGCAGAGAGGCACACTTAGAATAAAACTGACTCCATGGTGAAGGCCAGTTTATTACCATCCTACCTTAGAACGCCTTACAGGTTTCACTGGCCTTGCCTTCTGCCAGCAGTTATAGTAAAAAGTACACATTAGGCAGAATAAGTAAATAGCCTTTTAGGGTACATGTAGACAGCAAAGGTTTATGATAGTATAGAGTGGTCTTTGACTGACATTTGCTTCACAGCTTGACGCAGAACAGAAAGTAAATTAGCTAACTTTGGACAATTCTATTCTTTTAAAATGTTTGTCACTCACATGTTGCCGTATGAACTGTTCAAATATGAGCTAATATCTCTGTGCACAAGAAAACACATGCATCCAAACATCACACAATTAGTTTAGATTTTAAAACAGTTTAAAACTCCAACATACAAAGCACTTACAACCAGGAGACGACTCAGATCCCACAGTGTCGACTCCAGTTCAACTCACCTCTGGCACTTTAGGCGCCGGTCTGCGTGGCACTTTCTCCTCCAAGGCTTTCTCCTTAATGAGGACACAGGCCACATTGAGGGAGCCAAGGCATGCGTTAGGCCTGAAGCCCAAAGAGTGGCCCTCAGGGGACAGAAGTTCCAGGGTGTGCAGTGAAGGGTTGAGGTGATGGCGACTACACAGCTCAACCAACAAGTCCATCAGAGCTTTACTGATAGGTGGGGAAAGACAGAGGAGTGAAAGTGTGTGAATGTTGGCCGGTAAATGTTTGCGTGTGTGTGTGTGTGTGTGTGTGTGCACAAAAGAAAAAAAAAACGTAGAAGCAGAGAGAGAGTGAGCAAAGAAAAGAAGAAGATAGGGTTACTATGCAGTTGCCCTCAGCTCCACTAAGGAGAAAAGATACACTCTCACCCCATTTAGATTTGTTCACTTTTCTCCTTCTTTCTCATTGTAGGCTGATTGTAGAACATTACAATGTTATGAACTGCCAGTGCTCCATGTCATTTTTAAAATCCAGAAAACTTTGTCTTCTTGCAGTAAAAGCAAAACATCTACCCTTGAACTGACAAAGCAACAAATAGAATAATCTTTGGTACATAATTAACATGTACTGATGTGTACTAATTGGGACTCAAATCCTGGTTTGTTCTAACGGATTCAAAAGGCCTCAAAACAGCTAAAAAGAAAACCCACAGGCTTAAAAATGCACTCTGTGTCCTACTCTAATGCTTTGTGAGTTTTTGGGAGCAGCTGATGACGAGCCCTTTAGTACTACCTGTCAATCTTCAGTCGCCAATGTTTTGTGGGAACAGCCAGATCAGATGACAGAACTAAGCGAGAGAACTACAAAGGACACCATTGACAATCACTAAGTCATGGATACAGACTTACTACTACTAAAGAGAACATTTGCAAACGTACAATCAGTCACTGTGCTCATTCTACTTAAGAAGATCACATGCATCCCAAATAAGGCAAACCTGTTGGGAAACGTTCAGATTACCACTTATTCTATTTTACCTTAGGTAACCTCTCAAAAGGAGTCATTGTACAAATAATAAAGATACAAGCACAACAACTGAACTTGATCAAAACCCAACGGTTACAACATTTAACATAAGTGTCAATCAGATATGCAGATCAATAATATGATGTAACAGTACAGCTATAAAACTTTTTCTCACACCTTATTATCAAGCATATAAAGACGAACGGAAGTGTGATTACATAACCGACACAATTTGTTTACGATTACTCAACTGAGTGGAAATGCTTCTTCAAGTCTTACAAAGTTAACAAAAGTCAAGAGCGGTCGTAAACAAAAAAAAGAAAAGGTCGCCTAGAAATAAGGGAAACCAGGGCACCCCATTTGGAGCAAGGCCCAGGGGGAGCTCACAGATGAGCTTCTGGTGGCTGAGCATTGGCTCCTGGGACTCCTGAGAGTATGGGGTACCCACTGTCACTGATCCCGTTAGTAATGTTTATGACTGGAACTCAAGGTGCTCTTTCTGGGTTGGGGATGAGCCCTGCCCCAGGGGAGATGCTTAAGTATCTGTGTGTCTTGTTTATGAGAGGTGGGTGGGTTGACTGGGAGTGGGACAGGTGACATGGGGAGCTGAGCCAGAACGCAATGCTCTCTCAAGGAGATAACCCCAGGTTAACCCATTACCAGATGTAGGGATTATACAGATAAATTGACAAAAATGAATGGGTGGATATAAATAGAATTAGACAAAAATTATTTTAACACAACTTTTCTTTTCCAGGGTTGTTCTTCTTGTATGGGGTCAATGGACAGAAAACCAAATGATTAAAGAAATAACCTTACACTGTGCAATGGCTTTCACAACCATGTATGAAAAAACCTTTAGTCAGTTGTCCCACTTTTAATATCAGCACTTTATGACACGGCTGTTTGTTTATCACCTCAGGCTTTTCTTTTCTTGGACCAGAATGACATTCCTCTGCTGTTACTAAACTTCAGTTGGCTCTAGAATACATGGGAGTGTTTTTTTGTTCAGATTTTTACTGACACATTCTGGTCTAAAGAAGACCTAAGATTAAGTTTGTTATTTACCACTAATACATCTTCCCCAACAAGCAGAATCTCATTAGAGATGAAGAACATTAGGTCAGCCCGACTCTTTGGGACAAAGCTGTCGTAAGAGGGGACACAGGCCCCCTTGCCGAGGCCCCATGAACATGGCAAACAAAACAGAGGCGCAAACAGGTTGAATATTGTCTGCCTGGCCTAACAATGATAGTGGAGGAATACGTTTCAGCATCTTGTTATTATACAACACAGCCTTTGTAAGCAGAACATTCATGCTGTGGCACATTTTACAAACTGTTCATAGGAAAGACAAAGCCAGAGAACAACACCAGGAAGAATTCCAGAAATACAATTTATGCTTGTGTGGCTTCTGTTTTAAACTCACCTCCCGTCCTCAGTTACTGAAATGCGGTTTCCTTGTGGTAGGGTTAGATATAGGTCCACACTGGGCCTCAGTATGTTCTCCTTGGCATCCATGGCTGATGTCCTTCCCACATCAGGTTCAGAGTTTCTGAAGATGTGACGTGGAGCAGGTTGAGGGGCCGGAGGCGGAGGGGGAGCATGTGCCTTCATCCTTCTCCTGCAAGTTGACAATCCCAAAGATAAGAAATAAGAATAAAAATAGACAGGTTGCACACACTGTTCTGATGTTGTATAGTTGATAATTAAATTACAAGTGAAGGATCCACCAATACAGGATCCATTGGGCTTCTTCCACAAATAAAACAGCAAAAAACTGTTTTGTTTAACTGTCCCATAAAAGACCAAATTATGCAAGTCGTTTAATTTATTTGGATTCAGTTTGTGTCAGATATACAACACACAGACCTGATGAATAAAAGTCACCGTCTCCCCTTCAGGTCACAACCTGAATGCCAATGACCACATTTTCTCCAATTCTGACAGAACCTTTGGTTTGAGTGATTAGATAACAGTCTAAAGATAAGCAGAGATGATAAGTTTGACCATCAGGACCAGGCAGCCTCGAACAGCTGTTGATTCCACCCATTCCTGAGTCAACAACTTCTGCTCAGCTATCACTCCTCTGTCCATTTAAGTCATGCTATCATAATCCTGTCATCAGATTTTTTTTCCCTACAAGTGGATTCTGTACTGTGAGCATCACAAAATGAAAACAATGTCATAACAAGTAATGTCCCAACATGGAGCACAGCTTTACCAAGAACATCAGCCCATTTGCAGGGGAAAAAAAGAAACAAAAAATATCAACATTAGGCATTTGAACAACTTTTGCATGACAAAATAAGTATACATATTTTGTCAATCTTTTTTGCTCTTATCACCATATATCACTTAATGTCTAGGCAGCTGAGGAGCTACACGGTGGTGTGGTGGTTAGCGCTGCCACCACAACTGCTGCCATATTCTCCCCATTTATTCTTGGGTTTTATCCGGGCAACCTGCCGTATGCCCACCATCCAACAACATGCACATTCACTGGCTGTAAACTGTCCCTTGGAGTTACTGCGAGCGATAGAATGTCAACTTATCTAAGCTGTACCACGCCTGGCAGCTGGGCTGGGCAGGACCCCTCTGACCATGAATTAGAAACCCTGTGTAGAAAATGTACGGACGTATTGACAGTTGCTATATGAAAGCAGGCTAAGAACATAGCACATGCTACATGCTGTTGTTGGGCTTGTGACAGATGTCCATGACATCCTGCTACTATCTGCGTGGTTGACCTTACCTCCACATCAGCTGTGCCCAACAGAAACAGCCGATTAGGCAGGAACTAAGCATTTCATTCTCAAAACACTGACAAACAGCTAGTCGTTATCTCCCCATTTTAGAAAACAATCCCCCCCGATTCAATTTTAGCCAAAGAAAACAGGAGAAAAAGTATCTCACTCACGTCAGAAACAGTCCTTGGGAAAGAATGCTCAGAGTGTTTTTTTCAGATATGACTCCACATTTATAAATGCTGCTCCAAGGATTTTATACACCTCACGAAAAAAGAAGTGTGTGTGAGCTTTGTTGTGCTCAGAATACTCCAGTATCCTTTAGGATTCCCTGCCCAGTGCAAAGGCAAATGCAGAATAGCAAAGGAAGAGTGCTGTTGAAAACCGTACATAGATCGGACTCTAACCTGTCTGAAGTTAAACATTAACAGCTACGTCGGATATCAACTATCTCGAGCTCACGCTGACAGACTGATTGAGCAGAGAGCGGTTTCCTATTGACAGGAATGACACATAAAGGTTTGACACTGCTGATCCCAATCTGCGGAGGAGTCAAATAACAGATAGTCATTATTGTTACAGAATGTAAGTCAATTAAAAACACACAACTTACTCAGATGAAATATTTCCTTTCAAAAGTGTGGAAATCTGGTATTTTCCAGGTAAGTCTTCTTCCTCTAAGGTAAACATGGCACGGCACTGTAGAACGGTGGTCCTGGGCCAGGCCTAACACAGTGAGCTAGTATCCTCCTCTCACTCTCTGTCCCATCACAACATTTCAGTCTCCTTTCCTCCTCCCAAACATGCACAAAGAGGCTTTTAGGAGAAGCCTGGTCTCCCACCGAGTCAGAATCAGCATCAACAGGGAGAAAGAGAGGGGGGAAAGTAAAAGAGACGAAAAGAACGAAAAGCAAGAAACCCCGTTTCTGGCACAGGGGGGCAGTAAGTGCTGTGTTGTTACAGGGACTGAATTACACATAGCTCAGTCACACACAGACACACACTCACGGTGAGGGCCTGTTAATGGACTTTCAGAACCCCTTACTTTCTTCTGCCTGACTAAACAGCATGAAAGATGTTACCTTTCCACCCCAACAGCTTGAATTAACCTGTAATCAGCTTTTCTTTGTTCAAACTCCAAAATATTTATGAAACTCCAAAAATAAAAATGAATTTGCTGGTTTATTATTTTATCATTTTCCCCAATGGCATATAAAAGATTTTACTATATACATATTAAAATCAGACTGATCAGACTCAACTAACTGTTCTCAAATGGCTGAATTTGGTCTTAGTTCCAGATAAATGTTATACTGTCATCAGGACCAGTACTTGTGACCAGTTAAAAACAGAAAAGGAAGTTAACAGAGGAAGTATAAATTGAGTGTGGAATACACAGCTCAGCTATAATAGCTTCAACTGTTGGGAAGCTTGTAGGTTAATGAGGTTATTTAGAAGAAGGGAACACTCACATTTTACAACTAAGATGTTAACTTGAAAAATAAATTAGACATGCCGTGTTTGATTTATCTTTTCAAAGATTACACCTCATCTATATCGAGGTCAGAATAGACCTGGGTGTGAGCCCGCATGCTGCTCCTGTGTGACCCAATCAAAGTTGGAAACTCTGCATGTTGTTCAGGATAAAATGAAGAAAGACACAGAAAAGGTGCCACTAAAAAACAGGGATGCAATAGGTGTCATTTCATTATCACAGTTTCAGTGACATCACTGCGAACAAAGCAAAAGCATTTATAATCCAGCAGACTCCAGTTGTTTGGCAGGCGGTGTTTGGGACACTGATGACTACCGTTTTCCCTTCAGTGACTGTACAAGTCCCAGCCATGGAAACAACCTGAAATGCTCACAGTCACAATGGTCTTCGGAATGTATTAGTGTATGCTCTAAAGAGAGCTTTACGGCACCAGCCCCACCACAACAAATTCCATTTACAGGTGGTCTGATGAGCTGTGCCCTATCAGCAGCTTGATAACCCTGTTTTTAATGGTGGAACCTGCAGGTAGGATGGTCGTGATCATGAAACTGCAGCTGACCCTGAACTGTAAACTGTGTCTTTTCCTTATCACCGTACAAGTCCAATAAAGATTTCATGAGAAAAATACACTTTGCAAAATGAAACAGAAATTTTGCTATGACCTGTATCACTTTGTAAACATTATACATTCCTAACATTCTCTACTCAAGACCTTATGGTTAACCTTTGTCAGAACAATCCATCACATTTTCCTCTTTGATTAAAACAGGCAGCCTGAGCCTGCATACTTCTGGCCACAGGTAAGATGTCCCCTACGATGTTTGTGACAGCAGGTATTGTTTTTATTCTCTAAAAAAGCTGAATGCTGTCTCTGACCGGTGGCTAACGAGGGCATGACCTGATACTGCATGTGTGCAGCAGCATATTGACATCTTTTAGACCTTCTTTTGAAAATATTTATTTGGACCTCAATCAGGTTGATCTAATATTTGGCAGTCAATATTTAAAGCAGAGGGATTCAATATGAACTTCTAACTCTCACGATTTTACATCAGGAATCCTGAAATTATTTCTATCAGGTAGTAGGTAAACAGATTTTTACATGTAGTGCCAAATTAAATTAAAGCAACGCCTCAACTGTCCACTTCCAGAGCACACACCTACTACTAAGGAGCAACACCCTGACTGTGCTGCAAACACACACAAGTGCCACCTCCCAAGCATACCCCTTTGGTGTCATGGCGTCCCCATGGCAACCTATATTTACCCCACTTGACTGCAGATGAGAGCAGACCTTAGTTTAGCAGCAGCTGTGGATTTTGAATGTGTTCACACAAAGGGTGAGAGACTCAAAGACACAAAAGTGAACAAGGACAGCATGAGGACGAGAGAAAGAGGGCGACTGGGAGAGGTTTTCTGCTTCCGAAGTAGAAACATGAAGACACGTGAAACCAGTAAAACACTTGTTTGCCGTTTCTAAGGACACAACCTGCTAATTCAGTGTATGGCTTGATGCTCACATTACTGCCATGTGGTAAAAACACCACACCCAACTGCTATGTCAGTAAACTGACTCCTTTAATGGAAGCCTCCTGAGACAGCAATAGTTTCTCCTCTGTCCACACACACCACCCTGTCAAGAATCACTTTAATATAAGAAGTCTCAGAAATCGCCAAAGCTGCTAGATCAGACTCCTTTTCTTTTTCCCTTGGTTCTCTAAAGACTGGCGATAAGACTAACAAAAACAGTTTGATGAAAACACGCCCCGAGACAAAAATTATTCCCAAACAAATGTAGCAGAAGCTGTGTCCACACTGCTGGGGAAAGCTGCCTTTTTAATAAATAAGTGAGATTAACCAGGTGATTAACTACCTATTTGATTTACCTTGAAAACAAAAAATCTAATTTAATTTAGTTTTGTCCTCTTTTTCTATTCTAATGGAATCTTAATGCAGAGTAGGTTCAAATAAAAAAAAGTTTTCATCCATTTGCAAATCAAGAAAGTTTCAACACAGACTGCTCTGCAGTAAATATTATTATTATTCATCTAATTTGTTGATCTGTTCGGAGCAACGCAGCTGACTGTAACTAAATATCTACCATCTAAAATACACAGAAAAACATTTACTTTAATAGTTATAAATGTATGTTCCAGCTGTACTATGAGTAACACTCATAGAGGGAATAATAAGCCCTTCGGAAGAAGGGATGGCCTCATGTTTAGGGAAAAGAGACTATTCTCAGATGGCCCAAAGCATCTACGCATAGAAAGAGGAGAGGTAATAAAAGGATGGAGACCAACTCCAAAGAGGAAAGAGAGGGGATAGATATGAGCACAATGGGAAGGTGAGACTCTGTAATTAGTCTGTTCTCTATTCCCTACACTGCCTGTTCAATTAGACACAGATCCCCCATGAGAGACCTCAGGAAAAACACTTATGGTGGTGGAGCTTTTATTGTAGACACCCCAGGTTCCACAAGGAAGAGTTAAGTGCCTGTTAAATTAGACTTGGAGGCTTTCTCACAGGTTTTCAACAAAACACTGTTTTTGGATGTAAAAAAAACAAAAAAAAAACACAAACAAACAGGTATTTCAGTTACTCTTCTCTTGTAACATTAATGGCATTTAAAAAGTAGACGGCCATCTTAAAGGCACCAATGTCATAAACTGAGAATGTAGTTGATCTGACACCCCTCCACGGGTTTAAACATAATTCCTGAAAAGGTTACCTGCTGGAAAGCTTATCTGCTGACAAGTGGCATAAAGTTGTTGCTTTCTCTGCAAAGCAGACAGAAGCTAGAACAAAAGCATGAATCAGCACAGGTTTAAACACCCAGGATTTAACTGTAATGGCACTTCATCTGATCTGTACACATACCACAGCGACAAACATGTGAGAGCAGGCTTCCAAAAATAAATCCATGCAGATCCAAGCAGCTGCATAAAACAGACAGAAACACTCCTATGCAGACACTTGACAGTCAAATGTTCAGCAGATCTTTGTTGTTAACAGGTGTCAACAAGGGCTTTTGTTCTGCAGACATAGTGGCTGGCACAGGGCCTGAAGAACAAAACAGTCCATTAATATTATGAGCCAAGATTTGTCAAAGGTTTCTGCTCCCACAATGAAAATAAACCTCTAAAAGCAAACACTGTCAATGTTCATGGAAAAACTAGAGCAATTTTGCATTTAATATGCGTAAATCATATAAATGTTTAACAAACACAACAATAAGAATAACCACAGGTGCTGTACTGATCTCTTATTAGAGCCATAAAGCATGCAAGGATATAACGTGTGCTTTTGATGAGGCTGATGTGTACTTTGACCATGCTCTCACAGCTACTGAAAAAGCTTGTGGAAGCTCTGCCTCTGAACCATGTATTTAAATCAGGATGGTTTGTGAAATGGAGATGCAGATATCACCAGATGCACACTGGAGCACTGCCAACAACACATAGCCATAGTCTCCAATTTCAGGGAAGCTATATTTAACTCATCATAAAATAACTCCAAATATCCAGTTGTGGCCATATTCCCTTTTGCTTACAAGAAAATGCAGAATATGCCTCCAAAACAGAAACAAATAAATAAATAAAATAAAAATTGGGAAGGAAAAACGGGAACTCCCTGACTCAGCAAAGCTGACCTAGTGCCTGACCACATAAACCTCCAGCTGGGAAAACACACACAATTATATGTGTGGTCTAAAAATGATAAAGGAAATGTTTTCTATGCTCAAACTTAGATTGATAGTTTAATCCACAGGGTACAATTCCAAATCTATAAACACACACAGGCATCGGGGAACCGGTGTCGCTCCTCCTCCGGCAAGCACGAGTAACTGTGCGCATTCGGACACACACACACACACAAACGCTCACAGACAAGACAGTTTGACCAACCAGTAATTATCTGGGCGTTTGTTGGGGATAAACAGACAGTTGTCATGCCGTCCCATCCTGCATTTAGATGGAACAGGTGGACCACAAATGACAGATCACTTCCACATAAATGGTGTAACCAGCAAAAATCAACTAAAATCTGTTCTCTCTATTATGAGACACTTCCAAAACCATGAAATAGAAAAAGTGTCATGCCTAACTGAAAATAAGCGTCTGCATGTGTGAGGTTGGGGATGGGTGCTGGTTACTGGGGAGTAAGCCATGTGACCTAGTAAACCCACAAGGCTCTGATGCCTCACATGATTCCGTCTCCAAAAGAGAAGTCAAGGACAGAAAATTCTTGTAAAGCCATGGCAACTCAATAAAGCACTTTGAAGAACGGAAACATTCACACATACAAACACACGCACACACACACTCACAAGGCATGTTGTAAATTTTAAAGTCAACTTGTGTGGTTCCTCTTTAATTCATTCCCCATTTATTTATAATAGTATCTGGTTTCCTTCTTGCTTGTGGAAGCTCAAATCAGGACTGTGGAATAAAGCCACATTAGAGACACATCTTGATTCAGCACACAAACAAGCACATGTTCAGTCGGTCACAGACACACAAACAACCCAGGCCCAGACACGCAGAGGAACCGTCAGTGTGCCAATTAAGACTGTTTCAGATGCTGCACACCTCAACAAGTTTAGTAGAAATGCAATTACCGGCAGGGTGCTTTCCTGTTCATATAGGCAAAAAGTCGAGCCCTTCGGTTCGGGGCTGGATGTTGTCTGTGCTTAGAGCAGTGTTTTCATTCAGGCTATCTTTGTTCCACGACTAAAGGGCAGACGATACCGTCTAAGCATTGACACACTCTTACACACACACACAAGTAAGCACCCACTGCTTGGATTTCAATTGCAAGGTACAAAAGTACTTCACTTCCCACAAAAGAGCTGTCTCATCGTTCCTCATGTGTCAGCTCAGAGACTCTGCTGGGTTTGGGGGGGTGTTAACGACATTTTACGGGCTGTTTCATTAGGGCCACACCGTGTAATAAAAGGAGCTCCACTCGCATGCTGACAAAAGAGATGTTGCTACACAGAAAACGTCATCGCGGAAAGTTAAGTGGAGAGAAATGTCTCACTCTGAACCAGTGAGGAAAAACATTTTGTTTGCAGTGCCAGCAGACTCCAGCCAGTCCACTTTGTAATTGTCTCCAAAAGGCTCTTCAGGGTCTGGAAACACTGTCATTGAGACCATCAACTTAAAAGCTTTGTTACTTAAATGATAAGGAGGAAAAAATCACACCCCCAAACAAACCAAAACCTGATTCAGATCTTCAGCTCTTCATGCCTGCTCGATTGCTACAGGCGATAAGTGAAGCCCACCAAGGCATTGCCGCATACAGCTGCTGCTGTTGAACCATAACCTCACATCTCTAGTTCACAGATGGCTGACATGGCTTTATGCAGAGGGTTTTAAACCACATCATGTCACCTTTAGAAAATATTAGGATTCTAAGATTAGGCCATTTCTGGTTAGGGGATCTTTCAAATGGACAGCACATTCTCATTTTTGGTTATTCTTAAGCCATTAAGAACCATCATCCAATGTTCATAATACTGTAAAAGAAAAAAGAAAAAAGGGCTGGAAGCCAGAAAGGGAAACTGAGATGCTCAGAAATGGCACAACTGATTGTTTTGTTGAGTTTCTGGGAGATGCTTGCCTGTTCTGTCAGGCAGGGTGAAAATAAACAGTTTAGGATCGATGAGGTGAAAACGCAACGATTTGTTTGGCTGCCGCTTTGCCGCACAAATTCAAACCTGTGCGGCTTCACTGTGTTCAGGTGTCCCGGAAATGAAAAGGCAGCAGTGTGGGGTTAACGTAGCATTCAGGACCAATCTTAACGAATGGAGGGGATACTCAGAGCCGGACACCGCTGAGCTGAGGAGCTGTGGTCCCACACCAGGTGGTGGACAGTCAAACCCGCCGGACGGTCCGAACATTCCTGTCCTGCTGGAACAGTCGGCCACAAAACAGAGCAAAGCCCGCGTGTGCTTCTGCGTCTAGATAGTTCCGTCCGTGTGCTTTCCTTGAACAATTAAGACACCTGTTGAACTCACTTTTGCAACCCTTACGAAGAGAGCATAGCATTGAAGCTGAATTTTGACCAAACTCGCCGTGAGGAATCTGTACATGTACGACATAATGATTAAAAGTAGCAGTATATATATATATATATATATATATATATAAAAAAAACATCAAAAGCTTTAGTTTAATCCATAAACTTCGCTTAGTGGGATAACACTCATTAAGATTCATATTCACCCCGTAACTCCGTTTCACAGACTTACCCTAAAGGCGGTTTTGAGGACATTGCAGTGATTACGGTGTCACTTCTGAAAAGCGGCGCTCCAGCACAGCTCCCAAAATCCACCGTAGCTCTTAAATGCAGTGTTTCTCCATTGCGTTGTCATCTGCCAATAACAACAACAACTGAATTAATTAATTTATTTCATTTCGAGCGTCGCACTGACGAACATTAGCTCTACCCGGGTGTCCAACAAAGCAACTCTCTAGCAGAAAAATGCTCCACAAGTGACAGAGCGCAAACATAACAGTCCACACTGAGGGGAAGCGCAACGGCCAACTGCGACACCGGAATCAATTCTAGTTTGTTTTTATCAGTTTAGCCAAGATAACTCACTAATAATAGCCTTACTCAGTCATTGTCATCGACCGTGCCACTTCACAAATACACTTGATATAATCCTTGTGGATGAATTACGAGAGACGGTCAACTCAAATTGTGGCAGCGGCACGTAGCATTGTGGAACTTCCGGTGGCAGGGCGAGCTGCCACAGTTTTGAGGCAGCAGTCAAAGCTCATGAGTAGCTGCCAGATCTTTCGGTGATAATGTGCCATATTCCCGAAAAGGCAGCGGATACATTCTGAACCCTAACAAGTTGTGTTTTTATTGTTATTCCATATGTTGTTCAAGTTTAGCCAACCTGTTGATAGAGCCGAGCAAAAGAAACGGAAATTTGGTGTTCACAGATTTTTTTCCCCCACACGGATTAAGTTCGTTGCAATAGAACATTTTGCACTCAAAATGTTATGATCCGCAGATTGGTGTTAAGATTGTTTTTGTTGTTGTTTGTTTTCTGTCATGACTTGCTGCTTAGCTCCTGTTTAATTTGGTACTTCCTCTGTAACTTCCGGTCTTAAGTGGCTGGTTGGAGATTTTACTCTTCGCCTTGCAGCACCTTTATTATTGTTTTACTCCAATAAACCTTTTTGTTCAAATAGTAACTTGTACTTGTCTTATTTTCGTGTAACTCATCATTTTGATCCCTAGACACCTTCTCCACCGTTACTTGAGTTGCCACTTGAAATACCCAACTCCTTTTTCGGGAATTTAGGCACTGATATTCTGCCATCTGATTTTTATCATTTTAGATGCAATTTATAATCCACTTATTATTATTGATATTATTTCACATAATTTAGGTTTATTTTGTTATTTTTCAATACTAGAGGTACACTGTTAAAATGTGAGTTTTCACAAACTTTCAACCTAAAAACTAACAGCCAGATGCCTCTGTATAAATGTAGTGCCTAATGCTGTCACCGGAAGTGCCACAACTTTATTTGTCCCCAGGGTTCTGTCAAGTTAACGGATTTCATTACTTTAAAAAACAAGGTTCCCATAGTATTTCAATATAAACGTTGATCGTTAATCGCAAGAGAATTTCGTTTTGTGTTCCTAATTTGTCATAATTATCTTATCATCAAAAAGATATTTTCTCGGCTTTTCAATTGAAAATGAGTGGAGATTATTCAGATGGCCAAGGAAAATGGCCCTCCCATTTCGATAAAGGAAACAGGGACGAAGAGTTTTTCCGAGGAGAAATTACAGTCCAGTGACGACCTTGGACCCTTTGACCCTATTGAAACTTAATCAAACAAACACAACGGTTATTTCCACTTACATACATTTCCATCAGTAGTGTCATGAAGTTTGTTTTGAGGCCGTTTTCAACTTAACACTCCGTCAAGTTCTTACATTGAATAGAAGTTCAACGACTTCGGAACCGGAAGTTGTTTAGTTGTCTAATTACCTTCGTAGAACGTCTTGGGAAGACATTTCTATTGAATTCCTCATTAAATTGTTTCTGATTGCTCTGTGTTTTGGTAAATTAATATGTCTATATCACACTTTTCTGAAAGATAAGTCCTGTATAATAAATCATTTTTCACAGGTTCCAGAGTCTTAAAACACATTTTAAGATTTTGCTAAGCTTCTTTGATATGTGAAAATGCAAATTAGGTCATCTGAGTTTTTTTCTGTTTTGGTATTCAAGCCATCTCAAACAACAATCCTAAAATGTGGACTGAAATATAGGGCACACACCTTATGAATTGTGAAAACATTATTTGTCCAGAATTTCACAGGAGTCGTCAGCTCTCAGTGATCTTTTGTTTTTCATCAGGATCTTCACTACTTTGGAAAAATAAAGTGTTAGCACTTTTTTGAAAGGTAAGATTCTCAATAACTTGTTGACTAAGTAATACTTCTCAAGTTTTTTTTTTCATTATCTACAAAACAATGACAGCTGCGTTTTAACCTTTCTTTCAACGCCCAGTAATCAAGCTCTGCTTCATTGTCATTCTTTTATTCCTCCAGTGCCTGTATTTTACCTGCATTTGACACCAATATGGCTTTTTCCAATTTGGAGGTTTTGATCAAATCTGCAGTGTTTACTTGTGTCATCTAATTAATCCTATCAATAACATGTGCCATCATTTCAGACCCAGCCTGTTCTTCTCCTGTGACTATCTGCGTGTGGACAAGACCCTTTTCATCCCTTCATTAAGTATCGTTTGTATGGATATTTGTAAAGCAACTATTAAAGTCAGTCTTAGCCGTGCCACCCTTTGGATAGTTTGTGAATGTTGCTTACAATTGAAGTAAGATTAAAAAACATCCTCAAGTTTTGACAGTTTTCTTTGATATTTTGGTTTACCTTTCTTTTTATACGTCCTCTTCTATTTAATATTTACTTGATCCTATCATTGAACAACTTGTGACATATGTCTGAGCTTTTGAGCACCATTGGTATTTGGCATTGTCCACCTGTCTCATAATAAAACAATCCAGCTTTCCATCTACCAGAGACAATTACCTAAACCATAGGCATTTTAAAATCAAAGAAGAAAAAAGACTGATTACCCCTGATGGTAATATTCTGGGGGGGAAAAGTGCTCATTTGAGAATGAACGATGATGGTAATGATGAAGAGGCGAAGTCCCAAATGCAGGAATATAATAATCCAAAATGCCGAAAAATGACAGACAAAACAAAACTCAAATGGATTGAGAAATCAGTAACACAAAACTAGACGAAGGACAAAGAGCCCATTCCAGCTGACAGTGGGCGAGGAGCAGCTTACACCCTAGACGGCTCGCATGTAAACACAGGGCCACAACTGTAAACACTCACATTCACTCTTAGGGGAAATTTAAAGTGTTCAGTTAACATAATATGTATGTTTTCTGGAGGCTGGCAGGAACCCTCCGGGTGCTCTGGTACGCAGACACGGGGAGAACATTCCATCTTCACACAGAAAGGTGAATTGAACCTGGAACACTTTTGCTGTGAGGCGATGATGCTAACTTAACAATGAGTCAGTGAGAATGCAAAACTTCTCTCTCAGCATGCGTTGTGCCTGTCTTTTCACCACAAGAGGTCCCCATTGCATTATCAGAGAATATATCCATCCATCCATCCATCCATTCATTATCATTACCGCTTATTCCCTAATGGGGTCGCAGGGAGAACTGGAGCCTATCCCAGTGGTCAATGGACGAGAGGCAGGGTACACCCTGGACAGTCCGCCAGAGAATTCTATGT